TTTTTAAATTTCTGAAATCGGTTTCAGGCGTTTTTGAGCAAACGTCGATGAAAAGTCTAATTTTGACAAATGCGAAAAAACGATACCAATTTTTGCAACTTTGACGAATTTTTAAAGTTAAACGAGTTGTCGTAGGGCGGTAATATTTTAGTAATGATCTATAAGACTATGAATATCTACCGTCAAAAAAAATCATAAAATCGTCGAATTTTTTTTTAAAAAACTTTATACAAGAAAACGGCCGCCCGGCCGATCTTTTACTTTTTGGTAATCAGCACTAATCAGCACCATTCCCAATTAATATCTTCGAACAATTTTGAATTTTCAAATTGATTCAGAATTGCGGGCTAAAACGTGGACGAATTTTTTTTTTACTTTTCTGCTATTTACACAGAAACGGCTTGGCTGATCGTAGCGCAAAATTGATAACGCTAGTCCTCATCGAAATACTTGCTTTGAATATTTGAAATCGGTCCAGCCGTTTTCGAGAAAACGTCGATTTACGGCAAAAATCTGTTCACACACACTCACACACACATTCTTTTTCCAAATTTGGTCTCATTCGATTCAGAATGGCTTGAAACGTCGAGAAAAGATAAAATTAGCGAATGAGTTTTTTTTATGAAACATAAAATTCTCTTTCGGGAAGTTAATAATCATAGATTAATACATAGGGGGGCGTCCATTAATCACGTGAGGTTTTTAGGGGGGAGGGGGGGTTTGACAAAAAATCACGAAATATCACGTGGGGGGAGGGAGGGGTATAGCAAGATATCACGTGTATTTATTTTTTTTACTTTTTTTATAAAAAAGTTCAAACATTTTAAAAAAAATCAGAAATTTTACAGTTTTTTTCACGTAACTAAAATACACGTGATGTTTGGTGGGGGAGGGGGGGTGTAATTTTGAATATCACCAAATATCACCAAGGGGGGAGGGGGGGTCTAAAAAACTCCTAAAAACTCGCTCACGTGATTATGGACGCCCCCTAGTATGAACACATCGTATTATAATATTGTCTAGGGATAAATAAACAAACAAAAAATTTTTAGAGAACGTCAGATTCATAGATAAGAAACATCATAGATAAGTAAACATAAATAGATCGCTATCTGAGGCCCATTTGACATTACCGCCAGCCATTTTAATATTTTTGTACGTCTGAAGAAGGCAGCACTTTTTCAGTATATGAATCACCGCTGGTATTATTCCTAGATATGGTTCGCATACGTAATCCAAAATAAGAAAACCTAAAAATTTCTTATATTGGAAATGAGAAAAAAAACATACGAAGTACAAAATATATTTTCAAATATATCACAAACATTTTTACATAACAATTAAAATTTTTATAAATGTAATAATCAATATATACATAATAATAAGTATTATAATTTTACAATTATAAGTAACTAAAAAAAGTATTCACAATGGTATGATAAATTTACAAGGAACAATCAATATGAATTAATATATAGCAACTACACAGAGATTATGTAGAAGCATTTACAATAAAATGTTAAACTTAAAAATAACGATCAATATGAATTACTTAATGATCAATAATAATTAACAACTAGACAAAGATTGTGTAGAAGCATTTACAATAAAATGTTAAACTTAAAAGTAACGATCAATATGAATTACTTAATGATCAATAATATATACAACTAGACAGAAATATTGTAAAAGTTTTCATAAGTATAATGAATTTACACAAACTGACTAATATTAATTTCTTAATGACTAATATTAATATATTAAAAAGAGAAGAAAAAAGTATAGAATATAAAGTATATACTAAAGATAATGGAATAGTATAATTAGAAGAAATGACAAATAATGAACAAATTTAAAAAGTTAAATCCTACAGGCATAAAATATGTACACCTAAGTCTGTTTTTACGCGGTCTTTTTGTACACGGTTTTGATATAACACGGTTTTGAAAATTGAATATTTTAATTTTATTACACGATTTTATTCCATTTAGCACGATTTGAAATTTTATGTACTTAATTTTTTTTGTCAAATTTAATTTTTGCGAAGTATGTTCATATCACAAAAAAGTATTTATGAAAGAAAAAAGTCTGAAACCATCGATAGCATCATTAATTACTATGATTGTGAAAATAAGCATTATATATTTGATTTAATAAAATGAACATGAATTCTTGTTTTTCACTAATTTTAATAGGTTTTAGAGATTAGGAACAAATCACCCATTTTTGTATAAGATCAATGTCTTTTTTTACACGTTTTTACCAACCAATCTACCGTGTAAAAACAGACTTAGGTGTATATTGATATCAAAATTGATAGAAAACAAAATTCCAAGAATTAAAATTCATTCATGAGTCATGCTTCTTTAACATTAACTTTGCATTTGATAGTTATTTTGCTTTCCAATCAATCATTAATAAAGTTGCATTCTACAATATCTTGAATTTCTTATGATTCGATTGTGTCAATAGAACAGTGCAGCAGTCCTTTCGGCTGGAATGTTAAAAATATTTCTGAGCATTTTATACTCTGTTGCAATTTATACCTTAAATTATTGCATTGGTCGTCTATCCTTCTTAACTCCCTCAACATATAATGGATGTGCTATACATTTTACATGCCCTCGGAATGAAGACACTCCTATCTTTAGTCACTAGATTCTGCTGCAATTTGTATCCCCAAGAACATCTAATAAACATAACATGTTGTAATATAATATCAAGTCGTAATAGCAAATAGTATTAAAATATTCAGAATTATTATTACCTTTTCCACTGGAGTTGCAGAGTGTTCTCCTGGTCATTATAGACATGAGAACTATTCTGTGAAATATAATTGGACATTTCTAATTTGTTCACTTGCATTTTTATATTATTTCTGAAGTTACCACAAGTTGGTGCGTTAAGGTGCGTCCACACCTAGCGAACGAGCACGAACGAACATGGATTTTGACATGCGCGTGGGTCGCTTTTGTTAGAAATTTTTAATCTGCGCATATTATTCATCATGTTCGTTCGTGTTCGTTCGTTAGGTGTGGACGCACCTTTACATTTTTCCATATTAAATATCACATAAATGCTTACTTTAATACAACAAGATGAGTCGCTCCTATTAATAATTTATGTTTTGTGTAGTGGCGTTCCTTGTACCACGTGAGCTCGTGACTCTTTTTGACATAATCTCATAGGTTAAGTAAATCAAAAATCTTAGACAATATATCATACATTTAAATATATTTTAAAAAGGTTAAATTAAGTTCACTAGTAATTCGAAATGTCGAACTCGTGTATAGAAATAGTTGACGACATAGAAGATCTTATATCATCGCAGGATATATCTCCAAAAGAAAGATACAGTAACAAAAAATATGTCACTGTACGGGTTAAAAAACAACAAAAGGAGGACAAAACGCCGATCGAAAAAGTAATCCTAGAAAGTGTTGTCCCAGGTATTTGTGATTAGATAATTTTTAACTTTTATTTTGACTGATTCACTTCCCAAAGTTCCCAAATTGTTGCTTCTCTTAAACTAGATTCTCAAATAATATATTTTATATGCTCAAATCTATATTCTGTGTATATAAAATAATAAAATGAGTTTGTTTTAACTGATTCTTAACAATGAGAATTTTTGTAATAGAATTATGTTAAATTGCTAAATAGCTAATGAGCGTTACTATTTATTTAGGAACTCAAACTATTTATGTGAAAACATGGGGTTGTGCGCATAATAATTCTGACTCGGAGTATATGGCTGGACAATTAGCTGCTACGGGTTACCATCTAACAGATAAAAAAGAAAATGCTGATTTATGGCTATTAAACAGTTGTACAGTAAAGAATCCTTCGGAAGATACATTCAGGTTGAGCTTCATTAGCCTTTTTTTTTAAATATAATTTACATTCATTATTTTGTAGAAATTATATAGAAGATGGAAAAGAGAATGGTAAACATATAGTACTTGCTGGATGTGTTCCGCAGGGCGCTCCAAAGTCTTCATGGATGAATAATTTATCTATGGTTGGTGTGCAGCAAATCGACAGAGTCAATGAGGTGGTGGAAGAAACATTGAAAGGTAATTTGGTTTAATAAAACGTTTTCTAGTTATACTTCATGAAAGGCTACAAAAAATATTTATTAAAAGGTCAATCTTGATTTTTCAAACAATTGTTGAACACAATTTTGTTATTCATTAAAATCAATTCCAACTTCCAATCAAGAATGCATTTGTAGAACATTATTTGTAATACTACTATTTAAATTGAAACACATGTTAAGATATAAAACAAATTAAATTAATTATTATTATTAATTAAATTTATTGGCTTTATGTGAATCAAAGAATGAAATTTTTAATATAAACTGGTGTTCTTTTGAAATAAAACATTATTATATTATATTTATTAATATAATTTTAGGACATACTGTTCGATTGCTTGGCCAAAAAAAAATTAATGGAAAAAGAGCCGGCGGAGCATCACTATCCTTGCCAAAAGTACGCAAAAATCCTTTAATTGAAATTATAGCCATAAATACAGGCTGTCTGAACCAATGTACATATTGTAAAACCAAACATGCAAGAGGAGACTTGGCAAGCTATCCTCCCGAAGAAATAGTTGAAAGAGCAAAACAAGCATTTTCAGAAGGTGTTTGTGAAATATGGTTAACGTCAGAAGACACAGGTAATGAGTATTATATGAAAATATGAGTTTCGTTCCATGTAAACTTATTGAATTTTCTCAGGAACTTATGGCAGAGATATTGGTACAGATCTTCCAACGCTTTTATGGAAATTAGTAGAGGTCATACCTAATGGTTGTAGATTAAGGCTTGGAATGACAAATCCACCTTATATTTTGGAACACCTAGAGGTTAGCATAAACCAATGTCATAAAACAAGCCTAATTTTTTTTATATTAAAAAATTAATTTCTATTTTTGTTAAACATAGGAAATGGCAAAAATTTTGAATCATGATAAGGTTTATGGATTTTTGCATCTGCCAGTTCAATCAGGGTCCGATTCTGTGCTGGGTGAGATGAAGCGGGAATATTTTAGGAAAGATTTTGAACATGTTGTTGATTTCCTCCGTGAAAGGTTACTTAATATGTTTATCAATGAAGTAATTGCTGAATTACTAAATTACTAATATAGATATTTGTTACAGGGTATCCGGAATTACCATTGCCACAGATATTATATGTGGATTTCCTACTGAAACAGAAAAGGACTTTGAGGAAACTATGGAATTATGTGCAAAATACAAATTTCCAAGTCTTTTTATTAATCAATTCTATCCAAGACCTGGTACACCTGCAGCAAATATGCAGCGCATACCTGCAAATGAGGTTAAGAAAAGAACAAAAAAATTGACGAATTTATTCAATACATACGAGCCATATTCACACAAACTTGGTGAAGTTCAAGAAGTGTTAGTGACGGAAGTTTCTCACGATAACAAGCATTATGTTGGCCATAATAATTATTATGAACAAGTGTTGATACCAATGGATAAAAAATATTTAGGAAAATTGGTGACTGTGAGAATAATATCAGCATCTAAATTTTCAATGTCGGCAGAAGTTATTAATGATGTGGAAATTAAAAATGTTACCTTGACAAATCCCTTAGAGAAAGGAGCAGTATCCGGGCTTGAACTAAAATTGGAAAGTAATCATCAACTATTTTTCTATATGTTAATAACACTTTGTTTAGCTATAACATACAGATTAATTTGGTTCTTACTTTAGTACATCAAAAGTTATTGTTTTATTTGACAAATATATGTAAATAGTTTAATTATTTGACAATGAGAAAACTTTTAATATTTGTGTATATATAAATTTAAATAAATTGAGTTGAATTTAGTTTTTTTGGCAACATTAAGTTATTCAAAATCACAGGAAAGGTAGTTAATAGAAATGTAATATCACATTAACTAAAGATTCTACTAAAATTTTTATATGCAAGTCCTTATGATTTCTCAATTTGCTTTTATAAAATGAACAAATTAAATTTAATTGTTTTAAACGGTTCCAATTATGATGTTGAAAGTACAAAAATCTCATCCTTAGGTCCCTCCTTTTTTTATAAACTTTCATAAAATTAATGGTTTTGGTAACAAATTTTTACTTTTTCACTACACAATGTTATGGTAAAATATATTTGTGAAAAACATATCCATTCATCGCTACATTAAAGCAAACTGAAAATCTAAATGACTTAAAAACAAATATTTTTCTATCATTTGATATATTTATATCATATTGGCTCAAAGCAAAAAGCAATGGGGCATTTAATTCTAAATTTGGTACAAAATAAAGTTCAATGCAATCCATATGTTGTGTTGAGCTTCGATCAAGAAATCCAATTGTAATAAGAAACTTAAAAGTTGCTTTATTTTACTGCTAAATGGATATGATATTTTCACATATTGATTACTAATTTAAATATAAAAAATCTGCTTGGTTGTGATTTATTATATATTTGAAATGTATTATTATTTTATTATGACATATTACCTCTATTTCCATTCAAAATTACTATGTATTTGATTGTTCTGATTCATTTTTTGTTATTCTGCCTTTGTTTATATTTCCTTTAGTATCTGTAGAAAAATTATAATCTACAACTTGTGTCAGTGCTGCTTCAATAGCTGCATCAATATTATGTTTAGTTATAAAAGTTTTACTTTCCTCCTGTGAAAATAAAATTTAATATATAGGCCTTGTGCATAACTATTAACTATATATAAGTGCCAAAAAAACAGTCTTTCTAACCATTTTTTCATCTTTGCATTCTAGATTAATACTTGGTATTATTTGGAGGGCTAAAATCATGTGCATGACCAAGTAGCAATTTTTTTGAGAAACCCGCCCCTCCCCCTGGCCTACTTTATCACATTTTAGAATTAAAAGTTTTGGATTACAGTTTACAGTTGTACTTCGCCTTACGAGCGACTCGTCATACGCGTCTTTCGAGATACGAGCAGCCGAAGGTGCGGCTCGTTTGCTTCTTTACACGAGCAAAATTCGTGATAGTGGTCCAAATGAAACAGATTCATCTATTAGCAATTGTAATTTTTTTTTTTTGTATTTCAAAAATAATTCAGATTTTAATTGTAATTCTGACTTAAGTTCTAATATACTTTAAACAAATATTTTCAACTTTGCAATTAAGTTTATATAATTTTTATGAATATTAGATAATGTTACAGTATTTATAACAATGTGTTTGAAAACATTTAATATTCCTCAAACACTTTGTTATTGTACGGGAACTTTCAGCAATTTGCCTTAAAGCATGATGCCATACACTACTAGTTATTCAGAATTTGCTATTTTTGCAGTATATGTATTTGATCTTAGCAATAAATGTTTCATTTAATATTATTAATAATAAAACACCGCTGTAACGAATTAAATTCAATGTATGTAAATAGAAAAAATTGCTTTGAGATACAAACAATACGGCATGCGAGCATGCTTACAGAACGAATGAAGCTCCTAATGCAAGGTACCTCTGTATTTTTAATTCTCAAAACTTTGCCTTTTTCAAGGCATTTCAAAAAATGCATAAAGCTCACATAACTAGACCAGAACACCCCCTTAAATATATGTGTGAAATGAGTAAATTCAATTCCTTACCTTAAGTTTTAAAACTTTTTCTTCAACTTCCATTAGTCTTTGTAATTTCAAAGCATTTTTCTGTTCAATATCTTCATCGATTAATTGTTTCTTCTTTAATGCTTCATTTTCTAGTCTCTTATTTCTTATTTCTGCAACTTTCTTATTCCACTCATCATTAATTTTCATGCATTGTGCAAAATCTTCTAGTTCTTCCTCTGGTGTCATATGAAATCGATTTTCACCAATACTCTCTCTTCCAACTTCTGCTATTAAATACTTTCTGTAGAATTAAAGAATCGAGATAAGTAAACAGAGATAGAAAACACATGCCGAAAAAGTATTTAGAATTAAAAAACTATATGAGTTCTTACAATATAATTTAAGTTGGGATTAATTAATAAGTATTATAATGCTGGAATTTCTGGTAGTCCAGTTATTTAAGATCGAGATACCCAGCTGTAAGTTTGTAAATACTTGTATATTGAAACCCTAAAGTTGTCGCAAAACCTACATATGGTAGGGCGTCAATACCATATGTACATTGATTAATTAATAAGTATTATAATGCTGGAATTTCTGGTAGTCCAGTCATTTAAGATCGAGATACCCAGCTGTAAGTCTGTAAATACTTGTATATTGAAACCCTAAAGTTGACCCAAAACCTACATATGGTAGGGTGTCAATACCATATGTAGGTTTTGAGACAACTTTAGGGTGTCAATATACAAGTATTTACAGATTTTTTTTTGTTTTAATTTATTTATTTATTTGATATAATTCATACATACTGTATCTCAGTCAGACAATTGTTCTTATGAGAGATCACAGCAATTATAACAAAAATAAAATCTAAATTTTATGTAACAGACTTACATTAAGACATCTATATATTTTTACTTATTACTATTATACACACATATATACTCAGAACGCTTGCGTACATACATACATACTTATACTTAAATGTAATTAATATTTTTACAAAACAGAAGTAAAGGTATTTAAAATAGGGATTTTAACTCATTTGTTTCATTTATCTCTTATGTAATTTTTCAATTTAATTTTGAAATTGTTTAGGTCCGTCATTGTCTTTAGTTCGTCAGGTAGTTTATTGTAAAGGCTGCTTGCACTTCTCAGAGGACTTGCAAGTCCTTTACTCGATTTAGCATGTTTCATGTGAAAGTTTCGGTTTTGTCTCGATTGATGGTCGTGTATAACCTGGTTTGTCTCTATTGTGGTGCAATTTTGAATATTAGTTTCAATTCAATTTTTCTATTTCTATTGTTTTGTGTAGTGGTATGTTCTTAGTCTTTTGTAGAAGTTCTTTTGTCGGGATGAGGTAGGGATATTTGTAAGTTGATTTTATTGCTTTATTTATCATTTTTTGTAGTGTCTTTATATTTTTATTTGTTGTTTGACTCCAAATCGTGATGCCGTACGTATATTGAAAGTGTATTGAGGGTGTCAATACCATATGTAGGTTTTGAAACAACTTTAGAGTTTCAATATACAAGTATTTACATATTTACAGCTGGGTATCTCGAAATTCCGAGGTGAACTTACTATAATGACTGGACTATCGATAAAATGATCTTTTACTTACCGAATAGCTCGTACTTGTGTATGGTAATTGTTGTGTAGCCTCTGTAATTCGAGTTTTTCCTCTAATGGTACATTGGGGCGCTCAGGCACTTTAAACATTTTACTTTTAGCTACGGGCAACCATCTTGGCTTCCTGCGCCAACGAACACATTGATAATTTATTAAACAATTATTAATATTTAAGGATAAACGAGTTAAATGTGATTGCAGCATCTTTATATATTTACGTTTAGAATATTCGTATATAATTGACAATACGAATGTAAGGTTAGGTGTTAGATATCCATCATTTCACATAACCATAGATAAAACAAGAGTATATAAGAAGAAGAGCCCATCTGAACATAATCTTATTACTTGATGGATTCGCCATCTGTTATAAATGACGAAAACTATTATTTAAATTGTTTTTTAACTTCCCGAAGGAGAAAAGTTTATGTTTTCATCAAAAAATCCGATTCGCTAATTTTATGTTTTCTCGACGTTTCAAGGCATTCTGAATCGAATGAGACCAAATTTGGAAAATTATGTGTGTGCGCGTGTATGTGAACAGATTTTTTGCCGTAAATCGACGTTTTCTCAAAAACGGTTGGGCCGATTTCAAAAATTTCGATGTATTTCGATGAGGAGTAGCGTTTCTGAGTTTTGTGTGACGATCGGCCGAGCCGTTTCTTTTTAAATCGCAAAAAAGTGAAAAATTTTTCGTCCACGTTTTAGCCCGCAATTATTAATCGATTTTGAAAATTCAAAAACCGTTCGAAAGATATTGGTTGGGAATCGTGCTGATTAGTCTTTGGTAAAGATCGGCCAGGCCGTTTTCTTGTAATAAAGTTTTTTTAAAAAAAATTCAACGATTTTTATTATTATTTTTTTGACGGTAGATACCATAGTCTTCTAGATCATACTAAAATATTACAGCCCTACGACAACTCAAATTCATCAAATTTTGCAAAAATTAGTATCGTTCTTTTGGCATTTGTCAAAATTAGACCTTTGATCGACGTTTTCTCAGAAACGCCTGAACCGATTTCAGAAATTTAAAAGTCATTTGATGTATTTCCATAAGGACTATCGTTTGTCAGTTATGTGAGACGATCTGCCAAACCGCGGTTCTTTGTAATTTGAAAAAAAGTGTTAAACTTTTCGTCCACATTTAAGCTCATCCTTCCGAATCGATTTTAAAAAATCAAAAACTATTCGAAAGATATTAGTTGGAAATGATACTGATTAGTTTTAGGTGAAAATTGACCGAGCCGTTTTCTTGTAATTAACTGTTGAAAAAAAAATTTAAGTTGATTTTTATGGAATTTCTTTTTTGGCGACATATATCATGGTCTTATAGAACTTACTATAGAAATATTACGGTCTTACGACAAGTAGTATAATTTTAGAAATTTATCAAAGTTTGAGAAAATGAGTAGTTTTTTTTTGCGTTGATTAAAATTAAAATTGCACGATTTATTCGGTATAACAATATAGTACTTGGTCTTAATAAGCATACTAAACCATTAAATCCCACGGAAACTGGTTCAAATAATATAATTGTTGATTTTTGAAAAGTTGCTTTTTGAAAACACTCCGAGTTAATGTGTTCGTTTGTTTTCAATTATGTGTAATAAATCCACTCATAAATTAATTTATTTTTTATTGATTAAGTCGATTATTTACACATATCGGGAAGTTCATGTAACTTGCCTTAAGGCTAAATACCAATACTAACTAGTTATGATTAATATCTAAGAAGATAAAAAAAATAAAGATAACGCAGTTTATGATATAAAATATTTTGGCGCAGATGTCATTTTAAAAGACCGGTACATTTTTACATAAGATGAAATAAACATCATTGTATATTAGTCCGATCCTGTTTATTGTTACACGATATAAAAAGGAAGTTATCAAGGAGAGAAGTACGAAATATCATCAAAAGAGCGCATACCATCCAAACACTCTAATAATAGACCTGCTGAAACAAGTACCAACGAGAAGATTAAAAAGAAAGTGGCCGCAAGATTTAATGAATTAACAATCAATATATTTATGTAAGGAAATTCCCCACTGGGGAAATTTCTAAAAGCCCTGTACCCGTCAGCAAATAACCTCATTGAACCCAAGGTTCAGATTGGTTATAAGAATAAATAAAAAAAAAAAAAAAAGATGGGGCTTCATGTCCAACAATAAATATAATTAAACCGTAAATTCGGTCATTAAATTCCCTAATACTACCCATCCGAACTTAAAAATCGCGGCCTGAACTTCGATAATCACATAATCAGGTATCACCATCTACTGCTATCTAAATAAAGTCAATCAAAAGTGGTTTTGAATATGAATTTGAACTTTGGGTGATCGATGTACTCGTATTTCAAAACGAATGGTTTTTAGATAAATCTTATCACATGACAAACATTTTAAAATCTCTATTACTTTGACAAATATGTCTATTATATTACTATTACTACTGGCAGGTTATTAGCCGTTTGCGAATTATGACGTTTCGCCACGCGCATGCCTGAATGACGTTTAGCAACACGCGTTTGGTCAAGGACAAGTCTTATTAGAAAATTCGATTCGAAACATGTCATAATGAGATATTATTTATAACTGTGATCTTGGTTAGGCTTTAGAGTTGTTACATTCTTTTTGTTTAAAGTCTTGAATAATCAGAAAACTTAGTGTTTAATTATAAAATGATAATAACTTCATAAAATTACTGTGGTGAATTGTTTCTCTCTAGCCAACCAATATTAATATAAAGGAATTTAAATATTTTGTATAAAATATTTGTTAACTACATTGTAATTTATTGCATTTATTGCATACGAGATTTTTTTATTTAAAAAAAATGTAAGTAATTCGCTGAATATATTGATGTATAATATTGAAGTGATATAGTGTAACAATACAAAAAAAATTGGTGGCATGTTTAAGTGAAATTGTTTGATCAATATATACACCATTAGTGCCAAACTATTTTCAAAAATATAAAAAAAATCAAAATTAATTAAAATCTAAATTTTATAATTACAGTAGACTCTCACTAACCCGACACTTCGATAAACCGACTCTTGTTTTTGGAAATTTTTGGATTAACGTTATTTCCAATATCATATGTTAACTAGCTGTAAGTGGAATTCTGTCTTGAGGCAATTATGGCATCGTGCCTTAAGGCAAATTGCTGGAACTTCCCGTACCGTAACGAAATGTTCGAGGAATACTGAATGTTTTCAAATAGATTATTATAAATATTGTAACATTGTCTAATATTTATAAGAATTATATAAACTGAATTGCATAGTTGAAATTATTTGTAAAGTATATTAGAACTATAGTCAGAATTAAAATTAAAATCTGAAATATTTTCGATATACAAAAAACTGAAAAAAAAAATCCAAAATCAATTATTTTGTTAAGACAAGCAGAAAGTTCTTCGAATCATTTAAATCGGACGCATAGTTCTCTCAAAAACTGCCATATTTTACATATTTAGCTCCGTATCTTCGAAATGACTGGGCCTGCCTTTGCCAAAAACTAATAAACACTTCTCCCAATCATTACTAATTGAATGTTTTTTAGATCATTCAAATCGGATACTCCGTTCTCTCAAAAATTCGATTTCTATTTTCTGCACTCTTTGCTCCGTATCTCCGAAACGGCTGGACCTGCCTTTGCCAAAATCAGCTCTTTTCCCTATCAATAGGAATCGAATGTTTTTTGAACCATTCAAATCGGTTGATCCGTGCGCCCTAAAACGTGACTGGAAATTTGTATCCACACATACATACACACACACACACACACATACATCTATTTTTTCTGAGGTATCCAAAACGTTCAGAAACCTTCAAAACGTCGAGAAATGTAAAAATTTTCAATTCCGATTTTCGGCCCATTACAATAACTTACCCTACGGGAAGTTAAAAATTATGACTTTAGCAATATAATCCAGTAATCCGAAAATTCCAGTAATCCGACAACCCCTCCGGTTTTTAATAGTGTCGAGTTAACTAGAGTCCTCGACGTTTTCTCACAAATGTTTGCACCGATTTAGATAATTTAAAATAGTTTAAATTCGTTACATGAACCTTGATGAGGTTTATGTTAAATTTTTTAACTTCCCGTAGGGCAAGTTATAGTAATCGCAAAAAAATCGAAAGTGAAAATTTTTATATTCGGGACGATTTCGGGAACACCGATCAACCGATTTGAATAATTTAAATTCGATTCGTATTGATAAGGAGACGTGCTGATTAGTTTTTGACGGAGGCAGGTCTAGCCGTTCCGAAGATATGGGGCAAAAAATGCAAAAAACTGTAACTCAGTTTTTAAGAGAACGGAACGTCCGATTTGAATATTTCAAAAAACATTTTACTTGTATTAACAAGATGAAAAACTGATCAAATTTTCATGATACAGGTCTAGCGGTTTCGGAGATCCAGTAAAAAAAAGTAAAAAAATGCCATCTGGCGGTCAGAAATGATCATTAGACATATGCACAAAGAATTATCAGATATTTTATAGGGATTTTGACAATAAGTATAAATTTTGTTTACATTACTATGGGTTCCGTACCAATGCTTATCCGTTAGACGGGGGCGCGGCGCTTACCCGCATCGATATTTCGTCTCTATGCAGTTAAAGCAGTACGATTGCTTTAAAAAAAAAGTTCAGAATTTCCAAAATATTTCAAAATACACTTTTCTTCAAAAAGTCTTTTTTTCAAAAAAAAGTAAATTATTGTCAAAAATTTATAGTTTCTCAAATCTAATTTTTCAGAGTAATTTTTTTTCAAAAATGTTAATCTTTTAAAAAAATAATAATTTTTGGTACGGGAAGTTCCAGCAATTTGCCTTAAGGCACGATGCCATGCGCCCCACTAGTTTTATTATAGATAATGTACTAGCTGACCCGGCAAACGTTGTTTTGCTAAGTAAGGTATATTCTAAACAATTTCTAGAGAATCAAAAATATTAATACTATAAGTGTATAAGGATGTGTTGTTTGAATGCTATATACAATGAGGTATTATAAAAACAATGAACCCCATTAGTTTGTCTATGTTTTATCAATTCAATCAAACTGGACATTTTATACACTTTCTATAGAAATCATGGTATAATCCAATCCAAGTATTTTTTGGTATTTCGACTTATTGATTACGTTTTAAGCTCTTCAGATTCTTTTGGATTCTGGTTTTTGTGTATAATTGTAAATACTACTACTGAGCTTATACAAATTTTTCAAAATTCTGCGAGGAGAGATAGAAAAGATACTTTTACTATGGATTTTCAAAGATGACCGTTTATCTCCCAATATCAAAGTCATAAGAATCAAGGTTATAGCTGGTTATACATCTTTCTCCCTTCACTTTCAAATAATGTTGTTAAACAATGCTTCAGCTTTACTGGATTTTGACACTTTGGTCGTGAAAATTTTAACCCCGTACCTTCATATATTACTAACCAATATTTGATAAATTCTGGGAAATTATAACTGGGAATAAATTATTCGACAAAATGTACATGTAAATGTAAGTAATTCTCTTTTTCAGTCTTGGTCGCGGCATTATTATTAAACTTCACTTCACCTTATATATATATATATATATATATATATATAGTATCATAGATTGAATAAACTACATGGATAGTTTATAAATAATTAATTCTGAATTAGAATGAAAAACGGGCTCTAAACTACCTCTCTGCCACCAATTACTGAGCCACAGCAACGCGTGGCCGGGCTAGCTAGTATTTTTTTTATATATATAAATATACTATCAATTAAACTGAAAATCGGGATAAAAAGTATCCTAAGTCCTTCTCCTGGCTCTAAACTACCTCCCTGCCAATTTTCATCTAAATCGGTTCAGCCGTTCGTGAGTTATAAGTGTTAGCACATAAAGCGATCCTCTTTTATATATATAGATAACGAAATATTACGTGATATTTATTGAATGTTGCATCAGGGATTTTAATAGGTTTATTTTGATTGTGAGTTTTTGAATATTTTGCATAATAGCTCTAACCACTAATTTGAATAATTATGAAGAAAAAAATATAAATCGAACTTTTCTTACGGATTGTATACTGCTGCCATCGATTTGTTTTAACAAACTTATCTGAATTATAGATAGGTTTGTTTGACAACGATAAAACTTGCTTTATAATAATCAAGTGCTCTCCGGTGACTTATTAGTGATTAGAGCTTTGGTTTCCAAATAAAAAGTTCCATGTTCAATTCCCCACATCGGGCAGCCTGATATCAAGCAATAGTAAAATAGGTTTTTATTTGAAAATACAGATGGAAATATTAAAAATCATCAGCTTATACATATTTTAATAATATAAATTATCAAAGATCAGAGGTTTTCTTCTAAATAGCTATGTGGTTAAGAAATATCATCAGAACAATTCTTCAACAAGTTCTTATTGCTGTTCAAAAGCGAATTCGATGGAATGTAAAAGATATAATAACATTAATAATCAGGAATATGATATTTTCGATTATCATGATACAAATTATCTAAATAAATATTTCAAAGCCATATGTCAAGTTATATGTATCTTTGTAAGACCCGTTTATGTTTACATATGACTTCTGATATGAACAAATTTCTGTAAAAAAGTATGATGATATGTATGTGAAAATATTGTCACTCTTGCATAATGCGTTAAATATTTTAAAAACGCTCTTTTAATATCACATTCTCACAGATTTTAAATTCAACAAATATTTTTATTTACAGAAAACACAAAATTCCGAAACTGAACAATATTTTATACTTTTATACGTTAAAATATTAAAATTGAACGACAAATCATAAAAAATGAGTCTTTCGAAAGCAGTTAAAATTACATCAGTATTTACCAAATATCCCATAATGAAGGGGATGGCATCTTATGCACTAATATGGCCTGTTTCCAGTATTATACAACAGACAATGGAAGGAAAAACATTAGGTGAGTACTGGTTTAGTTTAAAAACTTTACATTTTGATTTTTTTTACTTAAGAAACAATAATAAGAGGACCAACCCTTGGGATAAAATAATTATGTTATGTTATCGGCATTTTTTGTTGAATTTTTCCTTAAGTTGATAGTCACGAACTGTCTTTGCAGTTCGATGGAATGTGTTGCAGTATATCAACTTCAAAAATGTCAATTAACAAAATATTTGTTGACAACACATGCGTGAAGTCGAACTGATAACAGACGTTTGTGCCATTTGGAGGTTACGTTTCAGATGTTGATATAGTGTAAGACGCTGGATCGAGTAGCAAAAAAGCCTTTTGACAATTCGTGACTGCCAACTCATGCAAATATTTACCAAAACAGATCAGTAACATAATATCATAATTTTATCCGAAAATTGGTCTCTTAGTTTGCATAAAGTGGTGCATACTAGTAATGAATTTGAATTGTTTAAAAGGTGTTGATAGCAAGGATATCGAGATTGTCATAGCATTTTTTTTGAACTCGTTAATAAAATATAATAAAACTATGGGAATAAAAATAAATAATTATCAAAATGCCATAAAGCTTTAATATATTCATTAACTGAAGCAATATAAAGTTTACTGATTGTGAATGTACAATATAAAGTTTACTGATTGTGTGTAATGTATGCTCGTTTTCTCCTAGCTCTGCTGCCAAAATTTCTTAAGTTTATAAACTATATGATGATTTGGATAGTGACCAAATTTTGTCGATGGTTATCAAAAATATGCATTTATACACAGTCTTGTAACAGATGAACTTTAATTTTATTGTATATTTAATAAAATTATTCGAATCAATTATGCCTGAAGATAGTGTTCATTGGTATTAAAAAAATCTTCAAATTTGTTCGAATGCATACACGTTATTAATAAAACTAGTTATTTGTTTGAATGTAGAATATCAAACTATTTATTAAAATTAAACAACTTTGAAATAGTAGACTAGTTTTCAATGTGCAAGAAATTTAAAGCTTTTCCTTATATCGTGTTAAAGAACTTCTGGAAATTCAGAATAAAATAATGTGAACATAAAAAATCTAATTTAATAATAATTCAAGACATGTCCGTTACCTATAAAGCTCAAAAATTATATATATCGAAAATATCAAATAAAAGTTTTATTTATAATTTTCAGAAAATTACGATTGGGGTCGTTGTTTACGATTCAGTTTATACGGATGTCTATTTACTGCTCCCACTCTGTACGGTTGGGTTAGATTATCAAGTTCAATTTGGCCACACAATAATTTTAGGACAGCTGTAACTAAAGTAAATTACAGCATTTAATATAATAAATATATTTATAGTTTACGTTTAGGATAAAATTTAATAAAATATATCTTTTAAAGGCACTCATTGAACAAGTTACATATGGACCATTTGCTCTTGCCAGTTTCTTCTTTGGAATGAGCTTGATGGAAACACATAGTGTGGACGAAGCAGTTAAAGAAGTTAAAGCCAAATTTTTGCCTACCTATAAAGTAAGTAATAAACATCCAGAAGCAAATTAGTATACTAATAATTCCAATTTCCCATGTTCTACGAACAAATTGCGCTTTGATGTATATGATTGATATGATAGATTGATTTCACTAAAAAATTGGAAGTTGATATTTTGCTTTAGTTTGCCCTTCATTATTTGGAAAGGTTAGATGTTAAAATTCATTATAAACAATTAACCCTTTCCACTCGGATGCCGCTGCTCCGGCTGCAAAATTCATGTAAATCTCGGAATTAGCGAATAGAAAGGGTTAAAATTTATGTCGTAAAGCTTTTGTAAAATTCAGCCTAATTCATCATATATATTTTGCTGAATTATCAGATTGTTGAAAAAAAAAGAAGAAATTTGAAGAAGGTTTAGTTGTTTTATGAATGAAGATTGAAGTAAATCCTATATACAAGAAATTAATTTTTGGTTCTAGTTTTGTAACTATAATTATTTTCTGAAGAACATAACTTGCCATAGCGGAATATGCCATATATGGGTATAACAATCTATATATTAAAACGTTATTTATATATATGTAACAAATTTACTAGACAAATATCGCGTATTTAGATAACGATGTGGACAAATAATATAAATCAAATATTTACAATTTTGATAAACTGCACTAATATCATAATTAAAAGTGAGACCAACTCCATTTTTAGCCTTTATGTAATTGCCCTTAATTTAAAGAGTATTTGATTTATTTGAATTTTTAATTTACTACATATTATATCTATAAAAAAACGTTTTGGATATAACTCTTCATGTCAATTTAATCGAAGCAGTAGGAGAATACTACTATCACTTCTAAATTCCTTTAATGTACTATTTACTTTTTACTATTTAATAAGGGCGCGTCGATCAATTTTTGGTTCCCCCTCCCCTTTTGTGATATTCAAAATTACCCCCCCTCCCCTGGTGATATTAATAATTACCCCCACCTCCCTTGGTGATATTAAAAATTAACCCCCCCCTCCCCCTTGGTGATATTCAAAATTATCCTCCTCTTACCCGCCAAACATCACGTCCATTTTTAGAAAAATGGTAAAATTTTTGATTTTTTTTTTTTTTGAAAATGTTTGGATTTTTTTTTAAATCAGGTAAAAAATAGATACGCGTGATATCTTACTATAACCATCTCTCCCACCACGTGATATTAGGTGATTTTTTGTAAAACCCGCCTGATAAAAACCTCGCCTGATTAATGGACGCCCTCTAATTGGACTTCCTCGTGACTTAATGGCTAGAGCTATAAGTTTCTAATCAGAAGTTCTAGAAAACTATCTTTCTAACAATAAGTAAGATAGCTTTTTCTCGATATTGCCGTATCACAAGGTAAATCGTACATCAGCACTATTGGAGAAAAGCTAATATAATAAAATATATCAAACATTAGATAAGGACAACCGAAGAATTGTATTCTAAAAAATAAAGGCCATGTCATTAGGAAGTCATCATTAAGCTTATTAGTCCAGTCATTTAAGCTCAAATTAGGCAAGAATCTCGGAATTCGAGATACCCAGCTGTAAGACTTTAAATACTTGTATTTTGCACCTTAAAAGTTGTCTCAAAACCTACATATGGTAGGGTGTACGCATCATATGTAGGTTTTGAGACAACTTTTAGGGTGCAAAATACAAGTATTTACAGACTTACAGCTGGGTATCTACAATTCCGAGGTGAACTTACTATAATGACTGGACTATATAAGATAAATAAAAGCCATGTCATTAGGAAGTCATCATTACAAGCTTATAGGATTATTAAAAGTTCTGAAAAACTATTTAATATTGTTATTATTATTTTTAGGTCGGCGTATGTGTATGGCCCGTACTCCAAACAATCAATTTTTCTCTAATAAGTGAATCAAACAGGGTACCTTTTGTCAGTTTATGCAGTTTGATGTGGACATCATTCTTGGCATATATGAAATATAAAAATGCGCCAATGGAATCGACCAGCAAACACGGCCAACAGCACTCTTTGGGAAAACAATCAACGCCACTTCTAAACCATTCTTCAATAAGTTGATGCCAATGGCAGTTTAGACCAAATATTCTATAGATCAAATGACATTTTTGTTATAAATTTGTATGTGATGTTTATAATTGTTTATATTTATATATGCTAAAGTACAAAGAATTCAGGTAATTTAATCGTTGGATTGAATAAATATTATTATTAAGTGAAGAATGTCTTTGTTAATTTTTAGTAGTGACAATGGTTTTATCTTGGAAATATAGGTAGCAATATGTTTCCAAGTGAAAATAGCCTTTAATCCGGCATTGCTGCAATACCCCAATTAGACCTGGGGGTTGTCTTCTAATAGCGTTTAGTATAAAATTTAAAACTATATCTCAGATAGAGTAAGGTCAATCAATGGATGTGTTCAGTACAGCTTAATAGAATACATCATAGTTCTGAGTGCTGTAAAAACTACAAGTTAGAAAAAATTCAAATTGTGCTATTCATCATAGAGTGAGCTAATTGGTACACCATGATACTACAAACAAAGCTGGTAGACGGAAAGCTCATGATACTCGCAAAGCAAAATGCCCCTTACACCTAGTTTACTGAACAATTAATGTTGACAACGAAAAAATTCCTATATAATCGTAATATCATTGTCCAATCGTTAGAAAACAAAATCGTTTCATAAAAACAATCGGAACAATTTTGTTGACAGTTGTTTTTGACATTAAACAGGCTATATAGTAAATTAAATTACTACGTTTTTTTAAAATGATGTATTTATTTTAAAATGATTTTTTTAATTTTTAAAACAATAATACTATAATTTATTATTTTACTGCCGTAATTATGAGTCAAAAAATTCCAAAACTTTTATTGTCGATTCGGCGACTAAATTTGACGTCAATATGGCGCAATATGAGTATTTTATGCAAAAAATTAGAATATAAAAAATATGGCGATCCTAACGAGGTTGTATCGTACCAGAAGGAAGAGTTAAAGGAACTTTGTCCAGGACAGGTGCTGGTTCAAATGTTAGCTGCGCCTGTTCATCCAGTAGACATTAATGTTATACAAGGTAAGTATTAGTGTTGGCACACGAATTAATAAATTTATAAACCGATTCTGCCGCACATCAGACCAATGTTATGGCAAAGCCATGTTATGAAGAACTTTCCATACTAAATATTGTCAAAGACCATGTGGTTACTATGCAGTCAGGTGTTTTTCTCAGGTTGTCAAATAGAAAACATAACCTAGAAACCGCACAAATGTCTAAAAACTGACTTTAGATAACAGAGCCTTTCTGACCTAGCTTCATAACATATAAGTTATTGTAAAAAGCGTGAATGCACAGCAAATACATGACATTCTGACAGTATTCAGTATGATTCAGTAGCATAATGTATGGAAGTTGGGGCGTAACATGGCCTTGCTATAACATTGGTCTGTTGTGCGACAGAATCGGTTCATTAATTGTATATATTTGGAACATAACACCAAATAAGAAAAATTGATGCACAAAAAAAAGTCTTTTGCTTTATAGAAAACCCGATGTGCTATGCTGTAATACAAACATTGTAAAAAGTATGTAAACGTAAATTTTACCTGTTGAAAGTTTCTCAATAAGGGTAAACAATTAATTAAACTCAAAACAAAGATTGTTGATTAATTTTGCAATATGATATACTCGCAGTCAACAGTTTCCACCTAAATTAACAATTTCTCGTCGAAGTTTTCAGAATTGTGCGGATTAGATTTCGATAAAGAACTTCTAGACAGTTTTTTTTATTACTTATGTTTATTATCATAATATATATTTTCTATATTAGAGTCAGATAAAAGCGCCTGGTTTAAGAGATCATACAAAATATCTTCATAGTATTTATTATATATACACGTCATTCTTGTATAAAAAACGACCAATATCTACATTCAATTCAGTCAATATTTATTTTCACAATCATACATTGGTCGAATTGATCTATCTTTATTTGTAATTGATTGCAAGTAGTGTTCCAGAAATTAAAACCATGGATAGGTTCCAATTATTATTAACTTAAATTGTTTAAAAATGAAAATTGTTTCATAATCTCTTATACTAGGCACCTCTGTCTGACTGAGGTATAAAAATAATGTCAATAAAAAAAACTTACAGCGGCCTTATGTGATGATCGGCCAAGCCGTTTTTCACCAATTTTGTCATAATTTTTTTACTCAAGCTTTCTCAGAGAATCCTAGATTGATTTAATTGAAAAATATCATTTGAGAATAATTATATAGAGTAATTCGTAATAAACAATCAAATAAAGTTTGCTACAATTTGAACAATTCAAATTGATCAATCCTTGGTGATCAAAATTCAATTGTCTACCAACACTTTTACCAAAAGCGTAATTGTTAAAACTTGCTTTCCTATGAATACGCATAAGATACATGATACGACCTCGTTAAGGCAATCAGGCTTAATACGATTTCTTGCATAATACCCCACTTTTTTCAATTTCAAAGTGTGGGGACTGACATCGTAGTAATACCCACCAAAAAAGCGTCTTATGCAAGAAATCGTATTAAGCGAGACACAAGCAATATTTTGCAAAAACATATCGTCTTATCCCGCTTAATACGCTTTCTAGTAGAATACGCTTTTTTGGTGAGGTTTCTGAAAAAACTTCTTAAAGGCATTTTTGACGGGGAAAATAATACGCTCGCATCTAAAATTTGTCAAATATGCAAACAAAGATTAAATAGAGGAGAGTCTATTCTCTTCAATTTGATAAAAAAAATCAAATATGCAAGCAAAAATTCAAAATAATACAGTCTATTCTATTTAATTTTTATTTGCATATTTGAGAAATTTTTATCACAAAGATTCTAAAATACATAGTCTCATAATTTGATCTCGGTATCCTTATGACTATGAATAAATAGAATAGACTATGGTAATAAATTATGTTAAAACCAATATAATAAAATCTTAATGAATCTCATGTTCTATATAATGAATATATAGAACATGTTAAATAGTGTAGAGTCTAAAGTATAAAATATAAAAAGTTGATATTCCTTACTTTGCAGGAGTATATCCTGTGAAGCCCAAATTACCGGCTGTTCCTGGAAACGAAGGCGTTGGGTGTGTTATGGAAGTTGGTCCTGACGTCAAAGACTTAAAAGAAGGCGACAAGGTCATTTTGACGTCATCTTGTCTTGGCACTTGGCGAACACATGCCATATTTCAGGAACACGATTTGGCAAAGGTATTCGAAATAATATAAGTCATCACGTCGTATGATTTATATCTTTTCTATTTTCTAAAAATAGACTAATTAGTATTAGATATTTTATTCTTTTGTGCATAAGGCAAAGGTTTTTTGTTTTGTAGAATGAAACAGAGGATTTCTATGATTTAGTAAATACTCTTAAACAGTTTTCAAATAACCCTCCTATAACGCGGCACTCGAAAAATCGATTTCCATATTACGCGGAGCTGAAATAGCGACAACGCTCCTAAAACGCGGTCGCAAAACAGCCCATAACTTTCTGTAGAGTCCATAAAGGATTAACTAGATATTGTAAAATGTTGATATAAATTTTATTATTGACTACTTTATCTTTTACAATATGTTCATATGAACGTGCAGGTTTATGCAATTGCTGTGTAGGATATCAGTTTTAGTAGCATCAGACCTCTTTCACAGCAGTTTCTACAAGATTTTTAATTGCGCCGAACAAATAATATAATTTGTACTAATTCTGAACTTTTTATAGCGCGCTTCCTATACAACTCCCGATTCTATAGAACGGGCTACGATTTAGCCTAGTGCATACTATTTAAGAAAAGTTTCTCTTATAACGCGGTTTCCATATTATATAGACGCTCTAACCGCGATATAGATGGGTTGACTGTATTAACTTTTCCTCTAGTCCAAAAAGTTCAATTTATAATTCAATTGCTAAATAATTTAGATACCACCCGATTTACCGGTAGTTGAAGCTGCCACATTGACCATAAATCCATGTTCTGCATATCGAATGTTACAAGACTACAAAAAACTAACGAATAAAGATTGCATTATACAAAATGGGGCTAATAGCGCATGTGGACAGGTAAAATTATAAAATATTAATTTTAAACCGCCAGTTAAAAATCATAATAAAAGATTGAGATTGGCGAAATTCACCTAGTCAAAATAACCATAAAACAGTAAAATAGAAAATTATAAATTTCAATTTCAAAATTCTATAAAAGCACATTATACCTGTATATTACAAAGTATTAATTAAATGTAAAATGTAAATAAATCCCCCTCTTACAGACAATAATACAAATCTGCAAAATATGGGGAATACAAAACATTGGAGTAGTAAGAAAAAGACCACAATTAGATGAGTTGAAAGATTATTTGAGCAAATTGGGTGCATCACTGATTTTAACCGAAGAAGAACTGTCAACCACGACTATATTTAAAGATGGTAAATTCCCACGCCCTTCTTTGGGTTTGAACTGCATCGGTGGTAAGAATGGACATCAAATGGTGCGTCATCTACAACCAGGATCCGTTCTGGTGACCTACGGGGGAATGTCCCGACAACCAGTAACTGCACCGACGTCAGCTTTTATATTCAAAAATATCGCCATCAAAGGTTTTTGGGTCACGCAATGGAACAAGCAACATCGGAAAACTCCAGAGCATGCAAATATGTTCAAAGATCTGATAGGTTTCGTGAAAGAAGGAAAATTGAAAGCACCACTATTTGAAATGGTTCCACTTTGTGAATTTAATGAGATATTAAAAAGAGCCACAAACAAAAAAGGATTTACTGGGAAAAAATATATTTTTGATTTGACAAAATAAAATAAAAAAGCAAAATCCATTTTATTCATTCTAGAATTTTAAGTTTTACGATATATGTTGTCAAGTGGAATATGAAGAATATCTTTGAACTTTTTATTTATAATGTTGCTAAAAATAATGTGATGTGTAAATGCTAATATAAAAACCACTGAAAATAATTTTACACATATTAATAGTATTAGATTAGTTAAAGACCAATTTTTTGCAAATTTTCAAAAGTTAGGTAGTTACAATTACATACTAAGTAATTATAATTGAATTATTTAGTAAATCGCTAAATTACCGTGATTATTAAACAGCAATTAATCAGAATAAATCTTTTACCAAACAATATAAAAAAAAACAATTTTAATTTTTATGGAAAATTGAATTTAAAACTCGTATCGAGTATTCATATTTATATAATGTAAGTTGTAAATAATGATAAATGATTGAAATATTGTTATGGTGCTCAATATCTGGACAAATGTAACAGTAAAACGCATTAAATAATATATTTAAACAACATATTGGGGGAAATTGCAAAAACTTCCCTATAAGTATAAATAATAGACTTAATTAATAAAAGTCGAAGTTTAGCAACTTTTAAAATTGTGACAATGAAATTTCGAAGTTTTAACACAGCCCATTATTTTCAATTGTAATGATTATATATACTTAACTCTTTCCTCTCGGATGCCGCAATATACTACTATATTATATATAAATCTCGCAATTTGCGAGTGAAAAGGGTTAAACCACTGTTCATACACTAATAAGAAGGTCGGGGCTTCTTAAACTATGGGTCCCCTGGAAAAATTATGGTATCTCAAGAGATTTTAATGTCAAATATTTATATCATTTTATAACATCGCGGCTTGATTTTTGTATGTTCTCAACGAATTCTTAAACTATATATTTTCATATGTATATGTATATTAGTCCAATCATTATAGTAAGTTCACCTCGAAATTCAAGATACCCAGCTGTAAGTCTGTAAATCCAAGGTTTTGACACCCTACCATATGTAGGTTTTGAGACAACTTTTAGGGTGTCAATATACAAGTATTTACAGACTTACAGCTGGGTATCTCGAATTCCGAGTTCCTTACCTAATTTAAGCTTAAATGACTAGACTATATGCATAATGTTACCAAATAAATACATAATTTAAAAATATTATTTTTTTTATATGTGTGGGGTCGTCAAGAAACCTGCAATCATAAATGGGGTCGCCAAAAAAGACACGCCATTGTAAATGGGATCACAAAGGACAAAAGTTTAAGAAGCCCTGTTTTGAGTTGTTAGTTAAAACCATGATCTCTGTCATCATACGAATGAAAAAAATTCTCAAAAACAAAATTTTCCAAGATAAATTACTAAGAAACTGCCCGGTCGATATTTAGCAAAAACTAAATTTATATATAGTTTATAAATTTGGCAATCTCATAGAAAAAATTGAGTCACAATTCTGCACTTCTCGACTTCTCGGCCAATCTCGACTCAAATTTTCGTATCGGTTTTGCCGTTATGAGAAAACATCGTCAAAAGGTCAAATTTGGGCTCTGATGCACATACAAACACATACCTTTTGCAATTTTGGAGTCAATAAGCGAAGAAAACGACATTATCAAATTGGATTTTCTGACAAAAACAAATATGAAGCATTCTTCATGTTTATATTTTTATATATAAAAATGCATGTGACGGTTACTTTTCGCATGATCAACGCAGGCGCCAAGTATCTGCGCGCACAAGATTCGCATTAGGATGCTGGAAAACAAATCGATATTCGATTTACTGACCATCCTACTGTCACTTGGTGGAAAAACGTGATAGTTCTATCAAAAATTATTAAGAAATCACATTATGTCACTAAAATTCAGTGGTCCGAATCGTGAAATTGCAAGTAAGTACAAAACAACTTCAAAATAACGAATGGAGCCGAATAATAATAATAATAGAGTTTCTCTATAAAGATGAAAAAAGCATTGCAGAAATCTGTTTTCCAGGTCGTTTGAAGACAATAAGGCTAGGAAACGACAGAAATTATAAGTTTTTAATTAGCATTAAGAAGAAATACTAGATCGGAGATTTTGTCAATATTTTTTAATTTTCTTAATATTTTGCAGTTTGACCCCTAACTTTGACTTTAGATGCATTCAATATGAATTAGTACAAGATTGCTTTTTAGATATCAACTTATTTTTGCGGTATTATTAATTAACATATAATTGCAAATGAAATATTTAATTAGTGTTTTCGCTTTCTTCATAGTGTATTTCTAAATTTTGACTTAAATGTCTGATATAAATAATTGATTATAAAATATTAATTTCATCTAGTGGTGTATGGCATCTTGCTTTAAGGCAAATTACTGGAACTTCCCGTACCATAATGAAATATTCGAAGAATAAAATTTAGTAAAAAAAAATTTTTTTTGGAAATAAAAAAAAATCCCAAAACCAACCATTTCGTCAACACAAGCAGACAGTTTTGTGAATCATTCAAATCGCTTAGTTCTCTCAAAAATAGCCATTTTTTGCATATTTGGCTCCGTATCTCCGAAACGACTAGACCTGCCTTTGTTAACATTTGTTAACATTGTCAAAATCTAATCACCATTTCTCCCCATCATTACGAAATATTTTTGAATCATTCAAACCGGATGCACTCTATGCCCCGTATCTCCGAAACGGCTTGACCTGCCTCTGCCGAAAACTAATTAGAACATCTCCTTACCAATAGGAATCGAATGTTATTTGAACTTTATTTGTATCCATACATACAAACACACACACATCATTTTTTTCTAAGATATGCAAAAATAATCAGAAGCCTTCAAAACGTGAAATATGCAAAAATTTTCAATTTCGATTTTTGGACGATTCCAATAACTTACCCTACGGAAAATTAATAACTGAATATCAATTCAAATTACAGAAATATATTTCTTCAAATTAAAGCAGAGTAATTGAAAATGATATACTGAATGACGGATCACGCAAAAATGTTGGGCAGAAAGCAAAGCATAAAAGGCGAGCCCATTCTCGCCGATTATGGACCCGAAGAATCATTAAACGAAAGTGCCGACATCGAATGGGTTAACAAAGTATGTTATAATTAAAATAATCATAAATTAAGACACAATTATTTATTAAAACTACCTTGTTCTAGTTATGGGTACGTCGCTTAATGCGATTCTGTGCTCTGGTGTCCTTGACATCAGTGTCACTAAACACCCCAAAAACTTTCGAACGCCATCCACCTTTGCAATATGTTACATTTAGCTGTGATTTGGTTGTCACATTTTTGTTCACAGCAGAAATGATAGCAAAAATGCATATTAGAGGAATTTTGAAGGTAACTCCATAGTTAATTAAAAATTTTAATATCAGCTTCAATAGTAATTTTAATCCTAGGTGGTGTGTAAAGGAGAAGTGCCTTACTTAAGAGACCATTGGTGTCAATTTGATGCCAGCATGGTCTTTTTTCTCTGGGTATCCATAATTCTGCAAATGTTTGAAATGCCTGGTATTGTACCAAGATTTTCTTACTTGTCAATATTGCGAGCCCCCAGACCACTCATCATGATCAGATTTTTAAGAGTGTTTTTAAAATTTTCTATGCCAAAATCGAGGATCAACCAAATATTCAAGTAAGGATAATAAGAGGATGTTGCAAATACACTATAAATAAATACAAGGTTATTTAAAGTTATAATTTCATTTCAGGCGATCGAGTCAACAAATTTACAATGTCACGTTGTTTTTCTTATTTTTCATGTCTTTATATGGTTTATTAGGAGTCCAATTCTTTGGCGAATTAAAAAATCATTGTGTTCTAAATACCACAGACCCAGAGTGAGTTAAATTTATTTTTCTTTCTCTAAATTATTCGAAACAATTTTTAATAATGATATATTTATTTTAGGTACATAACAATTAACAGTCTTGCAATTCCTGATACCTTTTGTTCATTGGATCCACAATCAGGATATCAGTGCCCAACTGGTATGAAATGTATGAAACTTCAATTATCTAATTACATAATGGGATTTAATGGATTTGAAGATTTTGGTAATTCTGAATAAGTACATAGTTGCACTACTAATATCGAAATTTGCTTAATTTTTTTTTATAACTATTTTTAGCAACAAGCATATTTACGGTATATCAAGCAGCTTCTCAAGAAGGTTGGGTTTTCATCATGTACCGAGCTATTGATTCGTTACCAGCATGGCGAGCAGCATTATATTTTAGGTAACTTCTAATTTTAAGCATAAATTTACTCAAATACCGATTCACATTGGATTATTTCAGTACCATGATCTTCTTCTTGGCCTGGTTGGTTAAGAACGTGTTTATAGCTGTTATTACTGAAACTTTCAATGAAATCCGAGTGCAGTTCCAACAGATGTGGGGGGTTCGTGGTCATATACAAAATAGCACGGCATCTCAGGTTTACTAAATAATTTATATACTTTACAGAAGATGATAAAGTTTGCCAAAAAGCTAAGCTTGTGGTTTTTTATTTTCGACTAATTGGTTGCTAACATTTTCCAGAATATTGTTCAAAGTCGAACAAAAAATCTATGAATATATAATTTCCATTGGGCTATCTCAAAGATAACTAATGATTTAAAGGAAATATTTAACATCCTGAAATTAATTTACTGAATGAATAAAGAAACCTCATTTATCATTTCAGATTTTAACAGGAACAAACGACGGATGGAAATTAGTAACAATAGACGATAATAAACATGGTAAAACAATAAGCAAGCATTTGTTTATGGTTTTGCATTGTCTTCATTTTTTGTTATTGTTATAGGACGAGCGCCAGAATGTTGTCACATGATGCTACGATCACCATATTTCCGACTTTTGATAATGACTGTGATTTTGGCAAATGGTATAGTAACAGCAACTATGCATTTTAAACATGATGGTCGACCGAGACATGTATTTTACGAAAAATATTATTATATAGAGGTTTGTGTAATTAATTGGTCAACCGATACAATTTATAACTGTTTCAATTACCGTTTCTCATAAGGAATAAGTCGAATAATAATTTTTCTTATAGATTGCTTTCACAATATTTCTAAATTTGGAAACAATATTCAAAATATGGTGTCTCGGTTGGCGAGGATATTATAAGCACTCTATTCACAAATTTGAATTACTTCTGGCAGTCGGAACCACATTACACATAATTCCATACTTCTATCTTTCTGGACTGACCTATTTTCAAGTGAGTATATAATTTACACCAAATCTCATAATATTTTAAAAACTACTAATTAATTTTACCATTTATTAAATAGGTTTTAAGAGTAGTACGCCTTATCAAAGCTTCACCCATGTTGGAAGGATTTGTTTACAAAATTTTCGGACCAGGAAAAAAATTGGGAAGTCTGATCATTTTCACCATGTGCTTGCTGATTATCAGTTCAAGTATCTCGATGCAACTTTTTTGCTTCCTTTGCGACTTCACAAAATTCGAAAGCTTTCCCGATGTAATAAAACTTGCTACTATAATATATATCATTTTATATTTTTAATAAATTTATCATCTCTAGGCATTTATGTCTATGTTCCAAATTTTAACACAAGAAGCCTGGGTGGAGGTCATGGATGAAACAATGATAAGAACAAGCAAAACTCTTACTCCCTTAGTAGCTGTTTATTTCATTCTGTATCATCTATTTGTCACATTGGTAAGTATACAACAAAAAACTAATATTTTTGCATATTATTTAAAGAAAGTTCTAAAGATTTCATTGTTACTATAGATTGTGTTAAGTTTGTTCGTCGCAGTTATCCTGGACAATTTGGAATTGGATGAAGATATAAAAAAGCTAAAACAACTAAAGTTTCGCGAGCAAAGTGCAGAAATTAAAGAAACTTTACCATTTAGATTAAGAATATTCGAAAAATTTCCCGATAGTCCGCAAATGACCTGCCTTCACAAAGTTCCCAGTGACTTTAATCTTCCTAAGGTAAACGCATATTATCAATTATTATGATAAATGCAATTTATTTTTTAATTATGTAAATTATTATTAGGTTCGCGAATCTTTTATGCGCCAATTTGTGTATGAAGTGGAAGACGAAGACTCGATTGATGGTGTCTGCAAACGTGTCAGTGAAACATGGGATTCAAAAATGGTGTATCGCAAACAAAAACCTGTAAAATTATTAAATGATACGCCCAAAGTTCGTACAATTAGTACTGCATTGAGAAAGGCAGCGATAACGCACATTATCAAGTAAAAATCCTTATTAAATATATATCATTTGAATAAAAACTGATTAAAACGACTGTTCTGTATATGATAAATAATGATTAATTAAATATTGCACACAGACTATACAAAATTATTATGATTATTTTCAGTGATTCAAATAATCAGAGACTAATGTTAGGAGATTCGGCTATGCTACCAGTAGCAGGGGTAAAGGGTACAATTAAACCTCAAGGCACCATCACGACTGGAAAACATATGAGAGTTGACCAGAAAAAGTAAATATACTTTTCAATATGCCTATAATTTTGAACAGAATTTTCAGACAAAAATGTCTGATAAACATGTACTTGTTTTTTTTTTATCATCGACATTACTTCAACCACCTTAATCGATGCTAAAGAAAACAAATCAATTTTAACTAGGTTGTCGATCTTCTCATTACAGATTTGGTTCTCGATCAATCAGAAGAAGTGTACGTTCTGGTTCAATAAAATTAAAACAAACTTACGAGCATTTAATGGAAAATGGTGATATTGGCGCTGCAAGTCGTGTGACATCATCAAGAGCTCGTCCTCATGATTTGGATATCAAATTATTGCAAGCTAAAAGACAACAAGCCGAAATGAGGAGGTAGATGATAGAAATGAAGTGTAGAATCAGAATAAATAATTTAGATTGCAAATAATTGACACCAATTCATTTTATTGGATTAGTACATTTGCAGTATGATTCCTCATTCTTATGAAGGAATTCGCTTTTGTAACCATTCAAATCAAGTTGTATTTTTTAGAAATCAACGTGAAGACGATCTGAGGGAAAATCATCCATTTTTTGACACCCCATTATTTGCAGTACCCCGTGAAAGCCGTTTCAGAAAATGTTGTCAAATGTTAGTCTACGCACGATATGATGCTCGACTGAAGGATCCACTTACTGGAAAGGAACGAAAAGTCCAATATAAAAGTTTGCAGTAAGTTCATGATGACTTTATAGAAAGACTTGCAATATATGATTAGGTCATCGTATCAAAGTTATATCTCCTATCTGTATCCAGTTAGAAGTAATAAATCTCGAAGGTACAATATGAAGAGGGCACGTGATTTTTAAGTTTAGGTCAATCTAAAGATCTAATTATCTTTATAAAAATATATCAGTGCCTGCATTTAACGCTTTTAGCATACCGTTATAAAACTATAGAGAATATACTCTTCAAAATTTATTACAAGCATGCAAATTAATGGAACACTTTATAATCTACAGCAATTTCCTTGGATTGGTGACTTACCTGGACTGGGTGATGATTTTCGTCACAACTTTATCCTGCATATCAATGATGTTCGAAACGCCACAGTACAGAGTGATGGAGCATGGAACTCTTCAAATTGCTGAATACGGATTTGTTATTTTCATGAGCTTGGAACTGGCACTTAAAATCTTGGCTGATGGGCTTTTCTTCACACCAAAGGCATACATCAAGGACGTCGCCTCAGTCTTGGATGTCTTCATCTATGTGGTGAATAAATAAAAAAAATATGTTAATTTTATTTGCAATCTTATGAGTATCATCTACAACATTGTCCAGTCATAAAACTATTTTAGTTCTGATTGTATTAATACAAATTTTAATTTTTAAATTATTTTTTATTCAGGTTTCATTGGTGTTTCTATGTTGGATGCCTCGTTCTGTGCCAACAAATTCCACGGCTCAGCTTCTGATGATATTGAGATGTGTGAGACCTCTAAGAATATTTACTCTTGTACCGCATATGCGCAAAGTCGTGTACGAATTATGCAGAGGATTCAAAGAAATACTTTTGGTAAAATTTATCATTAGAAATCATTAGAAAAAAATGTCCTAAAAGTTGAACACTCCTAAACTCAACACCCAATGAAATAATTTTGTGCCTTATTGCCCCATTTTACAAATGAAAATACTTCCAAACAAATAATTGATATTTTTTAACAATAACGTTTTATTGCATAATTCAGGTGTCAACATTACTGATTTTACTCATGTTCGTGTTTGCTAGTTATGGAGTTCAACTCTATGGTGGCAGGTAAGAACTTCCCTTTTAAATATCCCAAAGAAATAATTAATAATGGAAACAACAAATCTATAAAATTTATATCAAGTGCATATATAATTATAATTATTACTTGATTCAGACTAGCTCGATGCAACGATCCAACAATTTTGCGCAGAGAGGATTGCGTTGGTGTTTTCATGCGACGTGTATTTGTAACAAAAATGAAATTGCTTCCTGGTCTAAATGAATCTTATCCATCAATGTTAGTGCCGAGAGTATGGTGAGTATACCTTTAAATTTTTTTTGCGAAAAAAAAGTAGTACCGAAAATGTTATACAAAATAATTTTAGGGCAAATCCGCGCAGATTCAACTTTGATAACATAGGCGATGCCATGTTGGCATTGTTCGAAGTTCTATCATTCAAAGGATGGTTGGATGTGAGAGATGTTCTAATAAAAGCTCTTGGACCAGTAAATAATAAGAAACATGAAAATTGGTCTTAACTATATCTAGATAGTTGTCATTCCATAATCTAATGTTTCAGGTTCACGCAATTTATATACACATTTATATTTTCTTGGGTTGCATGATTGGATTAACTTTGTTTGTGGGCGTCGTTATTGCTAACTACTCAGAAAACAAAGGAACAGCTCTGCTAACCGTTGATCAAAGAAGATGGTAAACTGAATTAGAAATGAATTTTGAAAGTATTGTTATAATATTGTATAAATATTTATTATCTCGTTATTGGTACAGGTGTGACTTGAAAAAGAGATTAAAAATTGCTCAGCCACTTCATCTACCACCAAGACCTGATGGTAGAAAATTTCGGGCATTTGTTTACGATATTACTCAACATATTGCTTTTAAGAGATGTATAGCTGTTGTGGTACTGGTTAATAGTATGCTGCTTGCAATAACCGTAAGTCATTGATTTTCAAAATGTAATTATCAGATACAAAATTACCAAACAATGTATACGAACGTAAAAAAAATAAATGTTTGAAGTTTACCAGAATTTCGATTTGCATTTTTAGTGGATTAAAGATGAGAAGCATACGGAACGTCTGGTGATAGTAAGCACTCTGCTTACCTTTGTCTTTGTAATAGAAGTTCTAATGAAAAACATCGCATTTACTCCTCGTGGCTATTGGCAATCTAGACGTAACAGATACGACCTTCTTGTTACTGTTGCTGGTGTAATTTGGATATTTATACAAACTACATTTAAGGTAAAAAAAAGAGCAAAATCATTTAATTTTGCCAAAATCTATTAAAATCGGTAAAAGGTAAAATTGATTTCTGTTACAGAGCGAATTATCGTATTTCATAGGATTTATGGTGGTTATTTTAAGATTCTTCACTATAACAGGCAAACATACTACATTGAAGATGCTTATGTTGACCGTTGGAGTATCAGTATGCAAAAGTTTCTTCATCATTTTTGGAATGTTCTTGCTAGTATTTTTCTACGCTCTGGCTGGAACAATATTATTCGGTACAGTTAAATACGGTGAAGGCATTGGCAGGTGAGAATAAAAAAGAGAATTAATAATTATAAAGTAAAAATAATTAATGAACTTTATTAATTTTATTATTATACAGGCGTGCAAATTTCGAATCACCAGTGACTGGTGTGGCAATGCTCTTCCGAATCGTAACTGGTGAAGATTGGAACAAAATCATGCACGATTGTATGGTTGGTCCACCATATTGTACACCAGCAGACAACTATTGGCAAACGGATTGCGGAAATTTTACTGCCAGTTTGATATACTTTTGCACGTTCTATGTCATCATAACATATATCGTTCTGAATTTACTAGTGGGTAAGTTATTAATAAATGATTTAAACGAACAAAAATGTCAAAACTGATAAATTAAACAAAATAGTCAATTTTTGGTCAAAATATTTCTAAAAATATTATTTTAAAATTTCAGCTATTATCATGGAAAACTTTTCGCTGTTTTACTCAAATGAAGAAGATGCTTTACTATCGTATGCAGACATTCGTAACTTCCAAAATACTTGGAACGTAGTTGATATCCATCAAAGAGGTGTTATTCCCGTACGAAAGGTAAGTAGATAGAGCCGCCTAAAAATTTAACACCTACTACTTTTTCTAAATATAAAATTTGCTTATAGGTGAAATTTATACTAAGGCTCCTGAAAGGGCGTTTAGAATGTGATCCTCAAAAGGACAGATTATTATTCAAATATATGTGTTACGAATTAGAGCGACTTCACAATGGAGAAGATGTTACTTTCCACGACGTCATAAAGTAATTTACCAATAAATATCAATTAGTCATAACAAATATTTATTATCGTGTTTCACAAATTTTAGTATGCTTTCATATCGATCTGTTGATATCCGGAAAGCATTGCAACTTGAAGAATTGTTGGCACGAGAAGAATTTGAATATATTATTGAAGAAGAAGTAGCAAAGCAAACTATTCGAACTTGGCTTGAAGGATGTTTGAAGAAAATCCGTGCAACTAATGTAAATAGCAAAATAATTTATCTAAAATATGGATTTAGATAGGAATTATGTTTTATTGATTAATTTATTACAGAAGCAACAGAATAGTCTTATAGCTGGACTTAGGGCTACAAATAATGAAATGCTAACGACAATTGATCACATAGATGAAAAAAATAACAAGGAGAAAGATGCTATGTCTAAAGAATCTGCAGACGACAAAGTAGGAAAAACTGTATTATATATATGACAAAATGTCCAGGATCTTTATGATCAAAATATTGCCTTTGAAAATGAAGTTATAAGTTATAAAATGATATTAAATAAAATAATTAATATAACGTACCATTTATATGTCCCTTAGGAACAGGAAGCTGCCAGGCACAGGGCAGTCAAAAAGCCAGGTCATCTCCCAACTTCCATCAGTGGTCTTCTGGCTCGATCTGACAGTACAGGAAGTACATCAGGAATTCCTCTATCTTCTGCGAGCAGCAATCAGCAGTCTAACACTGTCACACCAACCAGCGCAGTTGCCAATGCTAATAAAAAATATTTGCAACCCACTTTATCGGATCCCCAGCACGGAACACAAACTACAACGACGCAACCCAAAGATACCATGCCCAAAGAACCTACCTCGGTTACTAATCGTTTTAATAAAAAGAAACCTTCAAAACCAGGTCAGAATGTTTTGTCCATAAAATATATTGTGCCTGTTCTTATCATATATACCAAACTCTTGCAAAATGACAGAAAGTTCTATAAAAAATTATTTTCTGGGTTGATTTTCCATTATGTATTGAGCAATAAACCTGCTAAAGGTAAAATGTTAGCGTTTTTAGTACCCCTTACTTTATTGCGCATTTCAATGCAAGCGTCCCCGTTAATTTTTTTTTCGTTTATTTGTTGACTTTGTATACGCGTACATCAGTCATATACATTTTGTAAGATCTTTATACTTTTATTTTATTTGATTGTATATAATTATATAATGCACTATATTTCCTTTTCCTTGTCAATAATGTTATAAAATTGGTTGGGAGGAAGATTTTTTGCCTTACTATCGTCTATCTCCCTCCAGAGTTCCCATTTTTTGCACTCCATAATGACGTGTTCAGCATCCGCCCTAGTCGCTCCACCCAAGCAATAGCAATATTATGCAAAAATTAAAATTTGGATTTATTAAAATTATTATTACTAATTGTCAGGTTGTAGAGTTTTGTATATATGATATATTTGTGGATGGTCGATGTGTAGTATTGATAATGTTTCGATGTTTCGTATGTCATGATTGTTGAAATGAGGATGGCAATTTACCAAAATAAGGGTCATAAAATCTAAAAAACATAAATATTAAAATAAAATGCTGTTGATGTTCATTTCATTACGCTGATATGTTTTAATCATGTTGGTGTTTACTGGTAACTGATATAATTATAGTGCACTTTACTACCGATCACCATACGTTCTAATGCATCTATGAAAACATTCTCGCAGTTTATGGTAATACCACCCAGAAAACCATTCATTTGCATTACAGTTTTCGATAAATGTTTGTAAATCGATGTATTGTTTTCTCGTACCACATTTCGGTAGAAAGCTTTCTACACATCATATGACAAAATTGTGGGTAATTTTCAATAACACTAAAAATGTGTCTTTCAAGTTCTAATTGATGAATCACTGAAACGTCAATACGTGTAATATATATTTGTTTATAATACAGTGAAACCTCCTTATTCGCAGGGGAAACAGGATTGCATTTTATATGTATTCATAGGGGATACGTTCCAAGGTGACAAAATAATCCGCAAATAATAAAATGATTCCGCAAATACAGTATGGCATTTTTTATGGTGTTATAAGGGATACGTTCCAAAGTGACAAAATAAAATAAAAATATTGCTGAGAACTACTATGTAAAATTAAGATAACCATACGTCCCGGTTTGTCCGGGACAGCCCCGGATTTCCACCTTGTGTATCGGGTTTTACTAAAAGCAATATATGTCCCGGATTTAGTTCTTTTGTCCCGAATTGTTCCTGTTTTTCAAAAATTGATAGATAAATTACCAAAATTTATTAAGACAAACAAACATATGCCATTTTTTTCAAATTAATTACAAATTTAAATTAAATACAATTTTCTACGAGGCTCAAGCGGTAAAAAATATGGATCGAAAAATATAAGATATAATATAATACCATAGATAAAAAATTAATAAATGTAGTCAAATAATAAAATTTTTACCAAAACTCCGCAATTCTGATCAAAAAAATTGACTTAATCGTATCCGTAAACAGCTTTGTTAGTTTTATTATTATTATTTTAAAGCCAATTATGTCGATTTGAGTCAAATTTCGCTAAAAATATATTTTATTTATTGAGTAATAAATTAAGGTTTACATTTTCGAAAACACCGATAGCGGCGAAGACGGCCAAGGCAATGAAGACGGCTTATGTCAAATTTTTTTTTACTAGTTCAAAATGATGGTGTATTAACCAAGAGAATATTGAGTTCAATACATATTGAAAACCACGAATAACGAAACTTTTAACCGCGAATGTAGAAATTGGGATGCAAATTTTTTGGCCGCGAATAGCGAAAACGCAAACAAAAGAAGCGCGAATAAGGAACTTCTACTGTATTTCGTTATTCATATGATCTAAGAAAGCTTTTCCTTCTCCCGTAAGTATTTCAATATACATTCTATCATTCATACATTTAATGCATACTTTCAAAATCCAAATGTCAAAATCCTCAGAATCTAAAATTTCCACCTAGTGCAAATATATATATATTGAACAATTGGTCGAAGTTGTAGATTTAACCGTTCCATCAGTTCTTAAGGTTCTTATTGTGCAGAATACCGAACGCATCGACATGTCAATACTAACGTTTCGCCCAAATCGCACAATAGCACGAGTATGGTACAATCATCAAATTCAGCAACATTCTGTGGCATCATGAAGAATGTTATGTAATGTATTGATAATGATTTGTTGTAGGTTCTTGTGTGTTCAATTTTTTAGTAGCAGCATCTAAATCTAATCTTCCTCATGTGACAGAAGGCACCGAGATGCCGAATCGTAGTAGCGAAATAAAGGAAGCTGCGCCAAAATCGCGTCATGCCGGCGAACAAACCACCAGGCCAAATAACGCCCTGCACGAGATAAGGGAATGGTGGCACGAACAACTAGCCTATCGATCTAGCGATGAAGAAGAAGATGAATTATAATTTGCATTAGAAATATTTTGTTAATACGGTAATGCGATCATTTATTGCTGCAAAATGGAAGATACCGTTCGCGAAGGCTGTAATATAATATATACTGTTATATTAGCTATAAATATTTTAGATATATGTTATGTAATCTAGATTAAAATATAAATATGAAATGTTTTAATAATAAAAATTTTAAAAAATAAAATGCAAAATTAATTTGAAACTAGCTGGTATAGATATTTTACCTTGAGGCAAGTTACATGAACTTTCCGATATGTGTAAATAATCAACTTATTCGATAAAAAAAATAAAATCTAAAACTAATCAATATCATTTCTAACTAATATCGTTCGAACAGTTTATGATATTATAAAATCAATTCGGTAGTATGAGCTTAAATGTGGACGAAAAGTTTAACAATTTTTTCCAAATTACAAAGAAATGGTTTGGCAGATCGTCGCTGACAAACGATAGTTCTCATTGTGATATCTCAAATGGCATTTAGATTTCTGAAATCGGTTCAGGCGTTTTTGAGCAAACGTCGATGAAAGATCTAATTTTGACAAATACCAAAAAAACGATACTAATTTTTGCAAACTTTAAAGAATTTTCAAAATTAAAGGTCGTAGAACCGCAATATTTTAGTATGATCCATAAGACTAAGGTATCTACCGTCAAAAAAAAACATAAAAATCGTCGAAAAAAATGTTTTCGACTTTATTACAAGAAAACGGCCCGGCCAATCTTCACCAAAAACTAATCAGCACGATTCTCAACCAATATCTTTCGAACAATTTTTGAATTTTCAAAATCGATTCGCAATTGCGGGCTGAAACGTACTTTTTTCAAATTTAGAAAACATAAAATTAGCGAATCGGATTTTTTTATGAAAACATCAAAACAAACATCTTCTTCGGGAAGTTAATATATTAAGATAAACGTTTAATTGAAAGTGGTAAAAAAATTTAAGAGATTCATAATTTTCAGAAATAATTTTTATAAAGTATTTATTAAATATGTTTTATGTAAATCAAATTACATTGGCAACAAAAATATTATATTCCATAAATATTATGAAAGAAAAAGTATAACTATATATACATTTATAAATATATACATTTCTATCTACGACTTTGGACTCATACAGACAAATACACAAAAGGTATAAATATGTACAATTAAATATGTACAATACACGCGCATTTCACATTTTATCACAATCTATTCAGAAATATGCACCATAAATATAACACGGCATATATATTGAAAATATGAAAAAAATATATTCCGTTCTCATTAAAATATAGTTAACAATTATTTCTAAATTTATATAAATATAGATTTGTGCGTAAAATTTCGTATAAATAACTAGTATATGAAAAATTTTAACATGATAAAATAATGTTTTAATATAACTACAAGATATAAAAATAAGCTATTAATATAAAATATACATTACTTGGCAATGGCATTTAAGAATTTGTCATAATTGCTAGGACATATAGTATGTGCATCCCGAAAGAAATTTCGATCCTTTGCATCTTTAATAAATGCAGACCACATCTCGTGTTTCTGAAAAACATTTATCATTGAATACAAAGCTACTCATAAAATTAAAATTGATTAACGACTCAAATATTGAATTTTCTATAGCAAATAATATTTATATTTACGAATCGCATAATTATTAATAGGGAATGCAATACCGATAAAGAATTTCGGTATTTTCTCTTTTAAAGCCGGTATGGTAAAATTCCGGTATTTTTATTATTTTAAACAAATGCAAACAAAATTGATAGTTATTTGTACAAATATAAAAATATATACAACTACAACTACATAAAATTAAACAATGAAAAAGCACTAAGTTTTTTTAGTAATAATGTAACAAAATTATATCCAATTTAATTAACTCATCATCAGTATCGAATATACTGAGTACTTTTCACTAGAATCAAACGTATGAGTAAGAAAAAGCAAAAACTCATTAAAGATCATAATACATCATTATGATAAATAATATTGTCTGTATCCTATGTGTTAAATCAGCATAATTTCCGATATTTTAAAGACTTAAAAACATATTTTTTTCTATATAATTTAAGATCCGATACTTTATCAAGATAAATAATAATATAATATAATTGTTGAGTATTTGTTTTTAAAACAATATAATGGTCCTATATTATTTTCAAACTGCGATACGTTTTAAGTAAAATAATATTTTATAATTGTAATAAAAAGCAAAATATTTAGTAGGTAATTATTATCATTAATATCTAAAAAGCAAGAAAAAAAATTAAGATTACGCAGGTGGTAATCTTTATTTTGTTGATTGTGAGTTTTTATTACATACATTTTTTTGCGCAGATGTCACTCTAAAAAAACTGTTACATTTTTACATAAAATGAAATAAACATCATTATCTACCGGTCCGATTCTATTTATTGTAACACGATATGAAGCCCTTTGGAAAGCAATAAATATTCAGTTTAACAACGAGATAGTAATTTGTCATTTTTTATACTATAAAACCACTTAAAGATATATCTGTTTATGCGATTATGGAATTTCAAGATAAATTTGCTCCGAGAAATTCAAGCTCGAGTGTAATATGTATCACTTAACGCTTATGTTAAAATACCGAAAATACCGGTAAATACCGGTATTAACACCGCCGAAAATACAGGCGTTATACCGGTATTTTGATATACCGGTATTACCAATTGCATTCCCGAATTATTAATATAGTACTTTATATTAATTAGTACATGCTTTTTTACAACTAACTGGTTTTCGTACCTAGTTCTCATGGTTTACTCAATAATTGTTTTGGAAAAATAGTCACAATTTAATCGCATTTCTAGCTTCTTATTTTAAAAAAAATGAAATAAAAATCGTTTTTATCATTTTGTGACAGTTTGTACTCAGATAGAACAAACACCATAAAGCAGTTTGCTATGTGCTAGCAAACAAATAGTAATAAGCAAACGAGATAAAAATTACATGGAATGGGTAATCAAATAATATTCTTTTAAGATCATCTAATGTCAATAATTGGCTATTTTTAATCATTTCCGGAATTCCTCATAATTCCATATAACAAATAATTGAATAACATTTGTGCGATAATAGGTGTAAAGTGAAGATAAGAGTCATCTATATTATATTAAGACTTCTATTTTTTTCTCCAAGTCATGGAGGAAAAAATGATGCATTACCTTTTTTTGCATACTTATACGTCCCAAACTCATACATTTCATATTAAGTTTAATAAAGAAGTCATAGCACAAATAAAATTAAATATGTAACTTACCTTTAATGATGCAAAGTTACCGCAAACAAATAAGCTTTGCTTGGCTCGTGTCAGCGCTACATTTAATCTTTCAAAATCTGCCAAGAAACCCACTCCATCACTGCGCACTAAAGAAATAATTATCACATCTCTCTCCTGGCCTTGTATGCTGTCGATTGTGTTTATGTCAACGAATCTATTCTCAAAGCATGATGCCCTGATAAAATATAAAAACAATATTTTATTTTAGATTTAATCAATAGAATCATCCAAATACAATACAATGCATAATATACAATTATCAAACCCACTAATAATTAGAAAATATATAAATATGCCTTGTAAAAATGATGATTAACTAGTTGGTATCGGTATTTTGCCTTGAAGCAAGTTACACGAACTTCCCGATATGTTTAAATAATCGACTTATTCAATAAAAAATAAATTAATTTATGAGAGATTAAAAGTATATCCAGTGAATTTATTACATATAATTGAAAACGAACAAATATGTTAACTCGGAGTATTTTCTCAAATTTTCAAAAATCAACAATTTTTATAATTGAATCAGTTTCCATAAGACTTTAATAGTTTTCATTAATACCAAGTACTCTATCGTTATACCAAGTGAATCGTCTAATTTTAAAATTGATTTTATTCAAAAAAAAAAAAACTACTCATTTTTTCAAACTTTGATAAATTTTTAAAATAAAACTATTGTAAGACCATGATATATATTGCCAAAAAAAAAAGTTCTATAAAAATTGACTAAAATTTTGTTTCTCAAAAACTTAATTACAAGAAAACGGCTCGGTAGATTTTCACCTAAAACTGATCAGTATCATTCCCAACTAATATCTTTCAAACAGTTTTTGATTTTTTAAAATCGATTCGTTAGTATGAGCTTAAATGCGACATTCGCATCGGACATCGCCGTTGCAACATGCACTCTTTACAATAAGAATTTCTTCCTAAAAATTTATATAATTTTTCCGGTTTAAAGTGACAAGAAACGTTTAGTAGTGCAATTATGAATAATTATTATAAGGAATTAATTAGGAATATTACAATTACATTTCACTGCAGATGACACAAACCAATATGTCGAAACATATGGAAACAATAAAAATGTTAAGTTCCTACAAGGTTTTAATTGATGTATTGCCCTGAAGATTGAATCTCACATATTTCAACATATATATATATATATATATATATATACATACATATATATATATATATATATATATATACATACATATATATATATATATATATATATACAATATATACATATACATATATATATATATATATATATATATAAACAATTTATATAAATATATATACAATATATTACTAAAAATTAAAATTTCTCAAGTAATATAAAAATTGCATAATAATAAATAATCTTACCATTGCTTCATTTTATTTGTGATACACATTTTTTGTCCCTGATATGGAGTGATTATTCCAACACTGTAGTTCAATCTTGATGTTAATCTAAGAACAGTGGTAGTCAAACTTATTACAAAATCAGCTTCTTTTGAATTTGAAAAATTTGGGGTTTGCATAAAATTTAAACTATACACTAAATAAGGTAATAAAGTATTATGCTTGTCAAGAGCAGGTTTGAAGCTCTTTAACGATCCACTGTAGAAGAAATTATTTGGAAAATGACAAATTTCAGGATGCATCCTATATTGAAGCGTCAGCGTTTTAACTGGTGTATTTTGAAAGTGCTCTAAACTACTTTCTATTCTTGCAAATAGCGATTTTTGAAAACCAAATTTTTTTGAACTCTGAAATAAAAAAAAAAATTATACTACACCCAATCATTGAAAGTCAAAGAGCCATTTGATAAAAGCCAAGTTGTTTAATAAAAGTTATGCACTTAAAAGTAAAACCATTTACTTGTGATATAACAGTAGCAGGTAACTGCTGTGGATCACCAACAAGAATTAATTTCGATACTCCCAGCATCAGAGGCATTAATGTCTCAGGTTCTGTGCATTGTGTTGCTTCATCCACAATACATATATTGAAGTATGTGTTACTTCTGTAATAAAAAATATTTAATTAGTTAAGCAAACACAATATTAGAATGCAGCATGGACAGTGAGAAAATTAAGCATGAAAATACATACGAAAGCATTTGTCCATTGACACAACTGGACAAGGTTGTACAAATTATATCAGCTCCACATAAAATTATTCGTTGGCTCTCATTTCGCATTTGAGCAAATTGGTAAGGCGGTATGCTTGGATTTCCACCCTTAGTCAGAAGACACAATTTTCTCTCATATTTGTTCAACTTATCTTGTGTGACATGGGTACTTTGATTACTTTTTATCATATTTTCTATACTTAATTTCAATGCATTGATTTTTGCTTCCAGAAACCTTTTCTAGCAAAGTAAAATAACATAGTATTAATGCAGCAGAGTAATTTCAAACATAAATTCAACAAACTAATTAACTTTTAAGTTATCCACATACAGGGGCGACATTTTTTTACCCATACAAATCGACCCGCCCTAATATAACTAACCTCTGTATCAAGACTATCCATATCATTATACTGCATATTTGATATTTGATTTGCTACATCACGTTCGGATAGAGTTTGCAAACTTATGTCCTGAACTCTGGGATTCATTGACTGTAGCACCCCAAATCTTACCATTTTGAATTTATTAGCTAAAATATTATAAAGATTACATTAAGGTGGTAGGCGTTAGTAGCATTTTGCCTTTAGGCAAGGGCATGCATTTCCTGATATGTGTAATAATTGACTCAATCAACCGAAATTAAGATTGAACTATTTTGATAAAATTTATACGTGTTAATTAAATATTTCGATTTCCAATTGATCTTTCATACACATTTATGATATCACTAATTATATTAATTAAATTGTACAGTACAAACACATGCTTTTATATCTTAAAAGTGCCGATTATTCCAAATTGTAATGAATTCATATAATTCAACCAACTTTTGTAGGACTGTTTTTTTTTTTCAATTACAATATTTGTTTAGTAATAGTGACAGATTCAGCAGATACTAATATTTAATAATATAATAATTTTAATATTTAATAATTTTATTAATTTGTTTAGTGATAGTGACAGATTCAGCACATAATAATAAATACACAAAATAATAATATTAAAATTAATGAGATATTATATTAATAATAATAAGAATAATAATAATATTAGCGTTTACAAATGACTAATGAGATCAATTGACTGTTTAGTGCATAAAATTTATTGCCAGGTTAAATTACATTAAAAACGCCAAATCATTTTTTAAAGAAACTTAATGTGAGAAAATACTATATACATATGTATAAATACTATATCTTACAAGAGAATTTTGTAAAAAGCTCGTTTGTTGACACAGTTATAAAGAATCTATTTAGATAATTATTAATTAATTTCTGTGAACAATGCACAAATCCATAAACTTGAGATGACAAGATTTTTGCAAAAGCAAAAATTTGTTATGGTTAGAAAAAAACACTTTTTTGCTAATTCCAAAGAAACGGCTTAGCCAATATTTTTTGAATTTTTAAAATCTATGCAGAATTGGGTGTTAAAACAAGCACAAAACGTTTTTCACTTTTCTGCTAATTACAACTTGTTTGAACATTTTGCAAAACCAATCTATGCGACTCCTTATTGAGATACATCAAATGGCTTTTCAAATTTTAATTTTTAAATGGAAAAATCAGCTCACACACACGCACATACTTTTTTTGAATTTGGTCTAAATCGCTTCAGAATGACTTCAAACGTCGAGAAAACAAAAAAAATAGCTAATTGGATTTTTTGGCGAAACCGTAAACTTTTTCGCAAAAGGAATAAATTATGAAGATATTAATTGTGCAATTAGTTTAAAAGCAGATTTTAATTATTAAAGCATATTATTTTAATTATTAAACCAATCATAAAAACATTAGAAAAAATCATTCCAATCATAGAATTAAAATTATTAATTTATTAAAGAAAAACAAAATTGATGACATAATTTTGATTTATATCAGCAACAGACTTAAAAAAAAAATTAAAAAAATTCTGATCAACACTAACATGTGACCAAACATGCAAATCTAAGTTAGTTTAATGATGTTATGCCCGAATGCTTAACCTCTTCACCGGGAAATTAATCTAGCTTGGACAGTGCCGAAAGAGATCATTTAAATTTAAAGCGCACACTACATTCGTGCCCCGTGTAGCTCGTTATTGCCCAAGATGGCACTTGTACATTTTCACAAGCCACACACATTATTCCCGGGCAAGGTTAGTTGTGTTTCAACATCAAATTCAAATTATATACAAAAATAAAAATCTTAATAAAAACTTTAACCATTTCGTAATTAAAAACAAAAATACATACCTGTAACAGATTGCCGAACAGCTAACAGTCTGCAAACTAACTCGTCTACGGCAGCATTGCTAGGTGCACAAATCAATATTTTTGGTCTTTTTGAGGTCCTCAAATTCTCCCCGTACAATAACTGCTGTATAATGCTTACAATGACTCTTGACTTACCAGTTCCTGGAGGACCCTTGATCAGAGTGATCATAGGTTCAGGAAGCAAACAATCTGCAACAGTTTCCATGACTGCCTTCTTTTGAGCTTCGTTCAGTACTGTCAGACTATTAATCTAAATATTCACGTGTAAAGAAAAGCAACATATAATTTAAATAATGTGGTATTCAAAAATATCAAAGAATGAGAAAAACTATTAGGTGTGCAACTAAGTTCTCACTGTTTTTCGATGAAATTAAACATTATCACTTAACCAGAAGTATATAATGCAAAAGCTTGGTTCAAGACGTTTTGGATTAGTCAAAATCGACTAGCTAGAGCCATATACTGACAAACAGCGAGAACTTAGTTGCGCACCTAATAATATTATTGTTGGAAAAAATATAGTGTAATAGGTATTAACATTATCATTGATTATAATAACCAACAATTGAAAGCTTATTGATAAACAAGCTTGAAAATATACTCACCATATTAACACCATTGTTTGTATCTCTTTTATGCTTTGTATACTGTTCAATTTTAGGATTAAGTACATTTTGACATAATTTTGAGTTAGGCAATGCCAATATAGCTTTAAAATTCCGAATTATTGGATTTATGTATGAGACAATATAAGCAATCATTGGCTCTTTATAATTTAAATCTAATGGTTTGTTTTTAGTTTTAAACTCCAAATATAAGATTCCGTACGGTTTTTTAGTAAATTTCACTGGAAATAATATTTATTATTTTTATTAATCATTAATACATTATTTGAAAATAAACCTTACATAAGCTTTCATTTACATCCTGATCTCTTGCAATTACTTTTTTCGCAATATTCACAAATGCAAATCTTTTTCGAATATTAGTTGTATTCTTTTCACTAGAAGATTGAGAGGTGCTTGATCCAGGATTTTGAACCAGGCCCATAACTATATAGTCACCTTCTCTAGGATGATTACTTTTTTCGTAATCCGTTTTACTTAATAACACTAAAATTTCAGAAAGCTACAGTTATGATATGATAATAATTGAATGAAGAAGATAACCCTTTGCGCCCTTTGCGTTCACTTTTGGGAGGAATTTAAGTTTGGCATATAACTAGGTTGTCTTCTCTAAGATTGAGATTATATCGCCAGCAAAAAAGTTAAAAAAAATACAAGCAGTCAATGAATGTATGTTAATTTTAATTACATGAAGTTGTTCAAGCACAATTACATACATTACAGAAAACATTATTTGTTTAGACGTTGTTCAACATAATCCATTATGTGAATGAATATTATAGAATTTATTAACCAGCAATTACTTCATTTCTCTAATGAAGGTTCATTTCTAAATGCTAATTACAATGACGAACCGATCATATATTTGAAATATGACTTTAATACATTATTGTTTTTAAATATTATACATATTTTTAATGCTATTATAAATATATAATTTGGTTGACACTAATAAATGTGTGCATCACGAGTGTTACCATATTACTTATAAACATTATTCAAAATTGTTATATAATGTATTTATTTTTACTCAAATGACATCTTGTACAGTAGAAAATAAGTTTTACTACAATCAACAGAGCGATTTGTAAATTCATTAAAAGTTGGAAGAGAGACATGTCACGACAGTGATTAATATCAACATGAGAAGCAACCTGCTATTACTTTTGGAAATTGCTTTCAAGTTTAACATGCTGCATAAAATAAATTTAGATGTTGCTGTAAATATATGTTCTTGAATGACCACAAATTCATATGAAACAAATTGCATAACTTATACAATAATGCCAAATTTATAGCAGATACGTTTTCATCAGAATGGGGCGCCGAGTTGCTGGTAAATTGTTTTTAAATCGGTACCGGGCGCAAAAGGGTCAATAGTACTTTGTAAAAATACATAATAAACAAACAGTTAATAGTATAAATCGTAAAAATACATAAAATATTTTGGGTATCTTACTATGGCAGTGTATCATCATAATTTGACTTTTAGTATTTTTTGACTCTCCAGGAAAAGGTAGTGCTTGATCTATACCAATATTATATGCATTTTTCCGAACATCAGGTGATATTTCTCGATTATCCCATTCTTTAGAAACTATTGCCCACAGTTCATCTATCATTAAAGGCATTATTGTTCTAAACAGAATGAATCACAAATTAATGTTTTTAATTTTTAACATAACTCATAACTGTATAAACAATGAGGTATTTAATATATTGTAAAATTACCTTTCATAATCAGAATAACTACTATATGAGTGTAACAATGGGGATCGCTTATACGGTGTATCTTTGAGTAATGGTGGAAGTGCTGGATTATTTTTCTGTTCATAAAGCCATGTTGGATTCCAAGTTGTTATGAGAGCAATAACATTATCAATATTTTCAACTTTATTTATAGAAGCAGTTTGCGAACAAATGGCTGGCATAGATTTTTTCTTTTCTTGCCAGTTCAGAGGCAGATCTTTGACATTGCATCTATTAAGTTTATTGCCTTCTTCAATTTCAAAATAATGTATTTCAGGACGCATAATAATTTTTATAGAACGCCGAGGTTTTTTGCCAGACTTCAAACATGATTTCAATATTCCTGTTGTTTTGTTTGATGTTTCTATGATTGACTTTCCACCACTTGAAATACCTTTGAGTTGTTTATTATCAATTACCTTGCTAGTAACGGTATCAACTTCCATCAACTGATCAACAGTTATTTTCATTTTAGACATACCAGCACTAAGTCTCTTTTCAGTAGAATCATTATTGATCAGTTTTCCTGAAGAACTGTTTTTCTCTTTTGAATCGTTCTTCTCCTTTGAATTTCTCTTTGATTTATTTTTAATTTCTAATTCTTCTTCACTGCTTTTTTTTGCTGCATTGTTATCATTTGAATTTCTTGTTTTCTTTGGTATCTTAGGAAGATCTGACACTTTGGGTAAACTTGCATCATTTTTAGTTTTGGTTTTTGAATCATTTTTATTACATGGAACTACTGGAATATTATCTGTAAGGAATGCTCCTCGATTATTTTCGGTAAATTTAACTTTTGGCTTAGATACAATTTTTGGACTATCATTGAATTCTTTTGGAGGTGCAGTTTTGTCAGCTAATTCTTTCAAACGATTTTTTCTTATTTGTCCAATAATTTTTTTCTCTCCCTTTTCAATGCTTTTTAACTTTTTGACTGAATTTCTTTTAGATTTAGATATAGGCTTTGATTTTTCAGACTTTACAGTTTTTTGTATTGCCTTTTCCTTTGATTTGTTCTCTAAAGTGGAACCTAAAAATTTAAATTATTTGATATAATATCACTTGAATCTTAAAGAGATATAAATACATAAATATAAATTTCAACATCGACAAAACTCTCAACATATAATATATACATACAGTAGAACCTCGATTAACCGGACTAATTGTTGTCGCTAGGCATCCGGATAATCGAAAATCCGGATGATCCAATGTATGAAGAATACTAATGTGTATTTATCAAAAATAGCAAATACATATATAGATATCAACCAAAATCAATGTTTAATAAGAAATTAACATTTCCTTATGTATGTACATATATATTTTCTTAGATTATATTACATACATATACTAAACTGCAGCATAAATCGTGCAAAAATTCAAATTGTAGGTATGTACATCCATATAAATTGGTCGCAGTTGGGAGTCCGGATAATCGCAAATCCGTATAACCGAGGTCCGGATAATCCAGGTTCTACTATATATATATATATATATATATATATATATATATATATATATATATATTAAATCTATATTACATTTACCTGTTGAACTCTTTCGTCTTGGAATCATGTTTACTGGGCATTCTATTATTGGTGGCTTTATGTAAGTTTTTTTTGATGGGGTTATAGTGCTTGAAGTTGGTGGTTCAGGTAATGCATTCTGATCATTGCTTTCACTATTTGCTATAAAGTCATATTCCTCTAAATCTACAAGATCTTTCTTCTCCTGGTCACCTGCACTAGTAGTTACTTCATTTTTCATATCATATTTTGCATCTTCTTCTATCAATTTAAGTAAATTTTGAGATAAAGGTAATCCTTTGATATCCTCATGTTCTATTTGCAAATCAGGTAAGTGATCATCGTCATCTTTTACCAAGGATTTGTTGCCCTTCATGGAAAAATTTTGAGAAAGTTTATTTATCCACTTATCAACGTCATCATCTTCATTATCACTGTCAAGGCAAATAATTTCATTATTGCTCTCAGACAGATCTTCATCAATCTCCATTAGTAGTCTATCATTTGGTTGATCCAAATTTTCTACTATCCCACTTGATTTGAAAGACTTTTCAAATTTTTGCACCATTGAACTTTCATCGTCGCTAATTACTACAATGTCATTATCACTTTGTGTGTAATTGAGCAGCATGTTATCATTGTCATCATCATCAAATGATGCTTCGTTTTCAATTTTTATTCGTTTGTTATCAATATCTATGGATTCATCCCCAATAGATCTCTTTACAGATCTTTGAATATTATTTTGTAGTATTTTTATATTATTAATTAATTTAAAAACAAAAAATTCTTCACTAAGGGATTGGTCACCAGCTACACCTAATCCTATTATATCATTATCGTATAATGTGTGATAAGTATCTGTTGGTATCATATTGTAATTAACATATGTGCCATTGGAACTCTGCAAGAAAGGAAAAGTGATTTATATAAGAAAACTAATTTTGATGTTGAATGCTAGGTTTCAACATCCATGTTTGAATTATATTTGCACAAATAAAACTGGTTATTGGATCGAGAATGTTAAATAAGCTGAGATATACCTTGTTATCAATAATTTTGATTAAATCTTCAGATACTTCTATGATGCAATGAGTCCTTGATACAAAAAGGCTTGAACATCGAACTTCTGAATTAACATTTCTTCCTATTGCATTTTTTCCAAGTGTTAATTCATATTCCCCTTCATGAAATTGCCTAATTAGCTTCCACTTGCACGTCATATTGAAACTGAAAAATCATAAAAAATTAATTCTGGTACCGCCATAATTATAAATGATAAAATGCTTCAAATAACATTATTAATTACATTACATTATCAATTAGAAATATTAATAAATAAATTCAAATATGTAAGTAACAAATTTTGTACATAGGACAAACTGTCATTCAATGAACTTAAAAATTATTACCACTGAAAAATAAATCCGCAGGAGTTAAACGATCATAGTAACTTTCTAAACCATTGCTATAAAATTATTATAAGCGGCACAAATAATAAAATGGCATCAAAACACTTTTGTCTACTTCAAATTACAAAATAACCTTATTTGTTTCATAGCTATGGCGGTTTTAAATAATGAGCGTAAATGTCACTTTTCAACGGCAAAGAGTGTTGCCGCTTGTGAATTTATTTTAAAAGCTCAAAGTGGTGTTGCCTGATAACATTTTCTTTCATCAAGTCAAATAAATGACAGTTCAGATTTAACTTTAAAAACCTACTAACGATTAAATATAATTAATCATGTGAATTGTTTAAATGTTTAAATTTAAAATTAAAATCATATATGAATATAAATGATGACATAGTGGTGAAATTTAATATTAGTGCAAACAAACAAAGAACAGTTTTACGTTTTCAGGAGACATATATAAAACATGTAAGTAGTTTGTAATAGTTTTGAAATTTAATCTCTTAAAAACTGTTAAGCTAAACTATATATAAACTATAAGAGTTAAATAAATACTTTAGTTTACCTTTAAAATACTTTAGTATACTTAAAGAAGTCTTTCTACATTGTGTTCCATATAACTCTGCTTTTTAACACCTTTTTGTATTTTGCTAAGTTTAAATCAATTTAAATAATATGAAATAGGTAATAACTTCGATTATGATATTAAACATTAGTTATATTAGATAATAATGGTGATAAGCAGGGCCGGTCCTGGGGTTCTCAGCGCCCGCATGCAACTTTTTTTCTAGCGTCCCCCTCCCCCCTTATTAATATTAACTGTTTTAACAGTTTTTTATTAAAATTATATAAATATTTATAGATTTCTTGAAAATTTATTTTTAATTATTCTGGATTTAGTACACAAAAAATTAGTTATAAGCTAAAAGCGTATAAAATATATTGATTTTAAATTTATTTAGAAAATCGAGGCGATTTGCGGGTTGATTATAATCAAATATTTTTAATATTTCAATTATTTTTAACGTATGTGCAATTTTAATATTTCGGTTTTAAAACATTTTACTTATTTATTATGCGCTTTATTCTATTGAGCAAATCATGCCAAGAGTGCCAAAAAAACTAGCTTTTCATTTTTAATCATAACACTCGTATTACATGTTGGATTTTTTTAATTTTAAGAGCCGAATAATATTTATTCTTGCTTTCCCGACATATTCAGAGTATCAGTTTGTTGTTTTAAAGTTAAACTTTTAACGTATTTTAAAAGTATTGTCCAAAAATCAGTAAAAAATGCAAAGAAATTGCACATTCTTGAACTACATTGAAACAAAAACTTATTATATTTGATATGTATTATTTCAGCATAGTTAATAATTATTAAATTTAGAGTATGGACAGCGCTATGTATAAAAAAAGCCTTAAGATTTTTGTTCCAAAGTAAATTTTGCTTCCATTTTTCATATTTGTATAACCCTAACCACGCGTGTCTTCAACGTTCAAAATTCATCAGATGCGAAACATTTGCAACAAAAGCAAAAGTTACAATTCAATTTCTCGGAATAAACGTGCCATTTTTTAAGCACAGACTCCCCATTTTTTATCGTCCCGATTATAATTTGTTTATATTTTTTTAACAAGTTTCGTTTCAACTAAATCAGCTCGCAATTTTTCCCAATGATTAATTTAATCTTTCGCAGATTTGAGCTTATGGGATTGAACACTAGATAATTTTTTTTTCGATTCCACGGTAACTTCAAACAAAGGAAAAAGTGAATAAGTAGATTAAGCAATGAACATAGCTGTTATTTACTAATTTGCAGAGTTATTAACCGGTTAATTGTTTCTACTGATATCACATTGCAAAATAAATATGCTTTTTGTGTCCCGGATCCCTAGTTAAGTTAGACTGTTTGTTATAATTTATTAAGTATTATAGATTTTATATAAATGATTTTAGATTTTATATAACAAATATAAATAATATATTATAAATTTAATTTCCGAAACTCGTTTTGGCGCCCCCTAAGGCTTGCGCCTGCATTTTTGCATGCATTGCATTCAAGGTAGGACCGGCCCTGTATATATATATATATATATATATATATATATATTGTTGTACATACAAATAATAATTGTATAAGTATATTACAAAGAACCTAATAAAATTAGAACTTGCAAATATCACTTCATCTAGCTTCAACTATTTTCTCAGCAGCAATTTTAATCACTATTGTAACTAAACAAAATAACATTACATTATGATTCGGTTATATTTTCTAACCTAATCTAAAATGAAACCAGGTATTACTGTAATGTGTTTTATATTTTTTTCTGGATTAAATAATTTGTCAAATATGTACATGGCTCTGGGACCATATATACTCGGTCCTTTAACTTGAGTTAAAGAAAGATATAATATTGCACAATTTATTTAAAAATTGTAATATAATACAATATTTTAATACGTATTTATGAAACAGTACAAGTTTTATAAAATGATATTGTAAATTTACAATTACGTTTACGATTCTGTGAAATGAATATATAAGTTTTGACCTCTTTGTTATAATATTTATGGTTTTCATTATATTGATCAGAGTATAAATTATGATCATAATTTATGAATGATTGAAATACTCTTATATCATCAAAGTTAAAATATTAATAATTAAAAAAAAAAGATCAGTGAAACGTAACCCGGAGAGAACAAATAAATTGATATAAGTCGCAAAAAAACAAATGTAAACTTATATTGAAAACTTAAACTTATATCTATCACAGCAATTTTTAAGATTATTGTATTTCGAAAAGAATTAATTATTTTAGTTAGTTCAATATTTAATTTTTTGATGTAGTTATCTGAAAAATTTAGCAGTAAAACAATAAATTTAATTAGATAAGGTATCTTTCAAAATCAATTTTCTATATTTGTAACAATTTAAATTATTTAAATACATAAAAATAAGAAAGAAAAAAGATTTCCAATGTATTATGTTTTGTATTGTTTTGTTTCGATTTAAATTTTTTTAATAACAATTGTAAATAGCAATTATGAGTTCCAATGATTTTTACAAAACCTATGACTCGTGCTATAAAATAGGCCTTCATTGCTGTATATATATATATATATATATATATATATTTATATATATTATATATAAAATCATAAGCTACTAGAACAGATTTATATATATACACATATATATAAATATATATATAATATATATATATATTTATATATATATGTGTATATATATAAATCTGTTCTAGTAGCTTATGATTTTTAAAACAAATGATGAGAAAGTCTCAATTACGAGATCCCTTAAAGATTTTTCAAAGATATAGATGATACAGATTTACAGGATTTTAGATATACATTTTAACAATATTTTTTTAATATTGTACTCGGACATATAGAAATAACCAAATTACAAATGTAATAATTAATCGAACATGCCCCCGCTTTCAGCACTCACTAGAAATTTGTTTTTCAAGAAATTGACATAATATATTTCAGTCATAAATTCTTGAATATAGTGAATTTTGATTTCAGTTGTATGGCTATTAAAAATATTTTAATAAAAATTAGTTTTTAGCTAAAGATTTATTAATTTGTTTTATCGATTTTCTCTCAAGTTATCATGAAAATAATAGCCCAGAAAAAAAAACAATATAAAAACAATTTTTGTAGAACAGTAGATAGATTTCTGCATTTTCATATCAAATAATTACAAAAATGGACGTAAAAGTGAAACTTTTAATTTTAGTACAAACAAAATCTTTGTAATTAAAATGTGACGTGTTGATAGTGAAATTTTATATTATAATAAATAGCTTTTAAGAGACGTTATAGTTATACATAAGAAACATATATACATATATACATACATCAGTTATCATTTATATGTATTATCATAGATATTCACAAATTAAGTTTAATAAATAAAAATCACAGACAAATAAGCAATTAAATAAGTAATAATTAATAATTCTCTTAACTGTTTCATATACGAATTACATCCACTATATATTTCATGCCACACTCGTGATAGGCCAAGCAATGAATGATCGTATACAAATCTAACTAGGTATAAGTGGCATTTTACCTTAGGTTGCATGTACTTTGTGAATAATCGACTTAATCAGTAAGAAATCAATATATTCATTTATGATTTATTTATGAATACTACATTGCTGTAAAAGAACATTATAATGCAAGAAACTATTGCAGATTATTCAATTTATAGTACGATTTTTTCAAACATCTTAGTTATTTTCGACAAACGGTTTAAATATTATATATAATTGAAAAAGACGTCTAATATATACTCGGAGTATGTTCTAAAAGCGCAGCCAAACATTAATTAATTTTCATAATTAAACCACTTATCGTAGGCCTCTAATATTTTAGCATGTTGATTAAGAACAGAATCTGTCGCCAAAAAGGTTTCATTAAAATCGACATATTTTTTTTAACAATTACCTAATTACAAAGAAACGATTCGACCGATCTTCACCAAAAACTAACTAACACTATTAGGGTGGTCATTTATATGGATATTTTCTAAATTTCTTGCTCCCAGGGGCTCGAATGATTCCAAATTGATTAAAAAAAGTTCTCTGTAAGTTTTAGCTTTTAATGTTAACGTTAAGATAGTTCGCACTCCAACCAAAGTTCCTATGGAAATAACATATATGAGTAAAATTCCATTTGTTTATAAATTAGCGACAAGTGAATCAAAATTTTGAGAATAACATTGTATTTGCTTATTTTAAACATAACAAAAAAAAAAATACATAAAAAATTTGATATGTTTCATAAAATAAGTAAAATATTTACTTAAGAAGGAAGAACCAAGAAACTTTGGTTGGATTGTGGACTATCTTGAATTTAATATTAAGAGCTAAAACTTTCAGAGATTTCTTTTATCAATTTGGAAGCATTTAAGCCTCTGGGAGCAAGGACATTCTAAAACATATTATTAACATTCTAAAACCTATTATTCAAAACTAGTGGGCCTTAAGGCAAATTGCTGGAACTTCCCGTACCGTAACGAAATGTGCGAGGAATACTGAATGTTTTCAAATAGATTATTATTAATATTGTAACATTGTCTAATATTTATAGGAATTATATAAACTGAATTGCAAAGTTGAAATTATTTGTTTGAAGTATATTAGAACTATATTAGTTCAAACAATTTTTTTTCCAAAATCAATTATTTTGTTAAGACAAGCAGACAGTTCTTTGAATCATTTAAATCGGACGCTTAGTTCTCTCAAAAACTGCCATTTTTTACACATTTAGCTCCGTATCTTCGAAATGGCTGGGCCTGCCTTTGCCAAAAACTAATAAACCCTTCTCCCAATCATTACTAATTGAATGTTTTTTAGATCATTCAAATCGGATGCTCCGTTCTCTCAAAAACTCGATTTCTATTTTCTGCACTCTGTGCTCTTTATCTCCGTAACTGCTGGACCTGCCTTTGCCAAAAACTAATCAGCTCATCTCCCTATCAATAGGAATCGAATGTTTTTTGAACCATTCAAATCAGTTGATCCGTGCGTCCGAAAACGTGACCGGAAATTTGTATTCATACATACATATACACACACAACACACACACACATCCATTTTTTCTGAGGTATGTCAATATGTTCAGAAACCTTCAAAACGTCGAGAAATGTAAAAATTTTCAATTTCGATTTTCGGCCCATTACAATAACTTACCCCACGGGAAGTTAATAATATTTAAGTTATTTAGCATAAAAACTCTAAACCCTAAACCCCCAAATTTTATAAAAAATGATGAACTTTAATAATCGGTTATTTGAACCCAAATGTTGCATCATAATCGTATTATGCTTTCTTAATTATATTTTTTGAAATAAAAATGTTAGGAAAAATTAGTTAATTATATTATATAGAATTTTTTTCTCACTTTTTGCCGCCCCAGAAAATTTGCCGCTACTAGCCTCGTTTGCTCCTATTGTAAATCCAACACTTTGTACAGGAGTATCACTTCTGCGGAAAACTCTCTTATAACAAAAGCACAAAAAGGTTAATAATTCCATGCATGGCTGAAATGATATATTTGTCGTCCTGATGTGTAAAATTATTAGTTAATAGTATGTATATAAAAGTCGATCTTGATTATGCAAACGATCTCATTCATTGCCTGACCCAGTATGTAATTACTTTTACTTAATCCTAATTTTAAACTTTAACAGTGTCTTAAAATCATATACACAACATGTGCAACAGTTCATGGAAATGTGTTATGAACATGTAATATTGCTTTATATCCGATATATTTATATATCTTAAGTATTATTTTTTTTATGAACTACAAAAATAATTAAATATAAACGAGGTGTTGTCGAACCCAGGTAGCGGATATGAAATCTGCCCATTCTGGAAATCATGAACACTATTCGACGAGTTTTGTTTCTTGGATAAAATGTTTTATGAAATTTTATTTTTTAAATAGTCTTGTAACAGTGACCAACAAGTGTCGCACTAACAACGCTCTAATTTTTATAATTTAATAAGCACTTACACAGAGACACAGATTTTAAATGTTAACAGTCTTTCACTCGATTTATAAATTAATATCACTATTATATATATTTATATTATATATATTTATATAAACAGCACAAACGGTTTAACACATCAAATTATCGAGTCGCTTTAGCAACAGATTTACAAATTTACGAGACATCAAATAGATACTTTTCTACTAGTGAATATACGTTAAGCTTTTGGTTTTTTGTTAAGAAATACAATCTAATACGGTTACCGCCGAGAATATGTGATATACAAACATTGCTTCTAACATTTAAATACGATGTCTTAGACGTCGAGTTGATTTTGTAAAGTAATTCACAATAGTTTTTTGAACGTTTTAACACGTTTTATGAAACCGTTGCAGTTTTTTGTTCTCAACAATAATATAACATATTTTTTAAATAACATTGATATTTTTGATAAGTACATTTGTGTTTTTTTTCAACATGTAATATAATCTCCTTACGAAAGTTTGACTCGCTTATCTTCTAGAGATGCAGGTCACAATCATGTACCTGTAAGGTAAAAATATCTGTGAAAACGAAAATGATTATTTATTTAAATTATTAATAAGTAAGTAAGATTATTAATATTCGTTGTTAATAGTTTAACTATTATTATTTAATTATAACTTATTATTATTATAACTAGCCAGTAAATAATCGATCAATATTTTGAAACTCAGCTATTTAGATACAATTTCCAAATGTTCATTTCGAAAATTCGAAAACAAAGTTTTCGCTTATACTAAAAACTAATCAATACGGTTACCAATCGATATAAAATATTTCGATCAAAATTGCACAACAAACATAAACATAATATCAGTTAATAAATTAACTATAGTAAACAAACACGAGCTTGTATGTCCAAAAAGCTCAGCCTTTATTCCAAACAATAATGAATTCTTATATTTGAACCACTTTTCGTAGGCCTCTATCTCTAATATTTTACGTTGTTTGCTTGGGTCATGAACTCTATCGCTATTTTGAGTTTCTTAAAGAAAACAAACAAAAAATTAACATTTAATTACGAATAAACGAGTCGACCAATTATTTCCAGGAACTAATCAGCTCGATTCCCAATAAATGATATTGAAGAATAAAAAAAATAGGCTGTTCTTTCACAAATTGATTCGAGCAGCCTTCTTCAGAATGTTAAAAATTTATAATTTAGTGACTGTAAAATAAGTATGAACATTCACAATACCTCAATTTCACGTCAAACAAGTCACAAGTCTTTATCGAGCTACGTCGAATGAAAAAAAGGTCGACGATAAATCAAAATATTGGCTCTCATACATACATGCAAAAAAAGTCGACGATAAATCAAAATATTGGCTCTCATAAATACATCTCATTGTATATATATTTTTTCCAAATTTGGTCTAAAACGTTTCAGAATCACTTTCAACGTAGAAGAAAACCAAAAAATGAGAAAATCGAATTTTCTGGTTACAATAAACTTCTGCTTCAGAAAGTTGAAAATTTATGTTTAGACTGTGAAATGAGTATAAAGCTGACCTTACCGCTATGAGGGAGCGGGTCGATCCCGTGCGCCGCTGCTGTATGTGCGTCTTAACAATTTTGATTCTTCAGATTGATCATGTCCAGGAAGGGTTGAACCTATAACCAGATAATCCGTAAAGTGAATTTAAAAATTTTCATTTAAATTGATTCCAACAATACGACAACCCCAAAGTTCAATATTTAACTGTCAGGAATTAATTTGAAGTTCATCAAGAGATTTTTTGATTAATTATGCATCGATTCTATCAACCGAATAGCTGAAGAAATGAATCGCAGATGAAATTTAATAGTTTGATATTCTTATTTTATAGTAAATAATATAAGTAAATATCATATACATATACATATTTAAGTGTAAAAATATAATAAGTGTAAATATTATATTTAATAGTAATCACTAGAGTTTGTCGGTTTTCAAAAACCGGTTTTAAAAAACGTTTTTTTCGCGAAAATTAAGGAATTTGAAAACCGGTTTTTAGTGAAAAAAGTCAGTTTTTACTGTATAAATGGAAAATGACAAATATAGCTAAATTTAAAAGATAGATGAAAGCATTTTGATACTTGAAATCATATCGGTTCAATAGCATTTAATATCTTCAGTAAAATCAGTCTATAATGGTTCCCAGAAAGGTTTTGTATATATTAATTTAGATTTTTATACTAGTAAATATATTGATTTAAATCAGTGTGATTTCTTTTAGAAGAAGTAACTTCCTCTACTCAAACTAAAAAAAAAGAGTTTTAAACTCTAGAAGCCACAAATTAAAGAACAAAAAACTTAGAATAAATATATCAGGCTTTAAAAACAATGAAGCATAATGTGGTCGCCAGTATGAGAGTATTTTCTATTTCAGAAAATTTTGTTCGAAATTATAAAGGCCATGTTGTAAGTAGCAATTTGATACACGTTCTCAGTTTTTTGGAATCATATTTTATTAAACAATTAGAATCAACAAAAAAACAATTAGAATGTTTAAAATTAATTAATTAAAATTGCTCGGAACAGACAATACCCGAGTTTAACTTAATTATTTTTAAAACTAAAATTGATATTAACAAGTATGTATCTAATTTTTTTTTTAAATTTATGCATTTTTTAATCAAAAATGTATTATTTAACCCTCAGTCGGTCGGATATTTTTTCACCTTCGAACGGTCGGAAAGTTCTGGCTAGACCACCATTCATTTTACATGCATTTATATGGGATAAATGAGTTTTTGATGTCTTATGTATTAACGATTATATAAAAAAATCAAGAAATATAATAAAATCGTTGCTTTTTTTGTTAATTTTTCTATTTTAAATCAATGAAAAACAATATTTATTCTTTTTCGGCACCTTTGAAATGAATGTGTGCATTACCAATCCGATTTTCAGTGTTTGCGATTACCAATAAGTTTGGTAGGTTTTCAAGGAACTCTCGTCATGAAAATACTAACATTCATGTTAGAATACATAGCAAAGAATATAAACAACGCAGTTTGAATAGAAAATACCATGAAAAAAGACAAAATACTGGTTTACATATATCAAAAAGCGTATATTTCATACAAAATGTATGGGTGGTCTAGACAGACCTTTCCGACCGTTCGAAGTATAAAAAAGTTAATATCCTTATAATTATCCTTCTGTACATTTTTTCGTCCTGATTTTTTCATTGATCGACAGCTAATGAAATTTTAGGAAAAGTCAAGAAATTTCAAGTCGAAACGATTACTAAAAGTATTTTTTTTTTTAATTGAAGTCGAAAAAAGTGTGGCCAGACCACGCCGACCGACGGAGGGTTAAAACTATTTTCTTTCTTATATGTGAAAATGATGCATGAATAACGAATAATTATTTTCAAAGCTATTTAATCAAGATAAACTATTATTTTTTAGTCCTACTAATCAAAATTAAAATAATTTTGTTTACTATCTATAAAATTGAACAATGAATAAATTCAGTCAAAGACTGCTCTAAATTACACTAAATTTGCGGATAAATTACACAATATTCGAGCAAAAATTTATTTTATATATAAAATTCGAAAACCGGTTAAAACCGGGTTTTTAGTAAAATTAAAATTCAAAAAACGGTTTTCTGAAATGTTGGTTTTTGTATAAACGCTAGTAATTACATAATCACCTGTTACTTCCTTAAGTCTTCTGTCGTCCAGGAGACCAGGATTAGATCGTTGCTGTAAAAAAACTCTCTGACGTGGAAGAGGTTTTGGAGATGCCGACAAAAAACGTTCCTAAATGGAAAAAAAAAATTTAATTTGTAATAAATTAAAATTTATTACATATAATTAAATGAACTGAAAGACTTCTAGTGTATTATATTATGTGTATAAATGTGATAAATATCATGTAATCATTACCGCTGCTTCTGAAGAACCAACAATGGTAGCCGAAGAATGCGTATCTGCGGCTAATAGTCTCTCGCTTTCCGGATCCACCCCACCAGGTCCGCCGACGCCGCAATGTCGATGCGCAGCCTGTTCCGCCTTGTTCTTGAGTATTGATTTAGATCGCCTGTGAGATTCAAGCTGCGGAGAACCACCATCAGCAGAATCGATGGATAGAGAAGATTTACTGCCATTCTTTCCTAAAAGGTAGAAATATGAAGATATATACATTAGAATGTTTTTTCCTTAAATTAACAGGTTGACTGCCGACCAGCTCGATCGGAGTGTTGCGGAAGCTTGACTAAATTTATTTATAACGTAAATATGTTTTTATTTATATTTTTACATAATGCTTGTATATTCCGAATATTAAAAAAACGTTTTTCACATAATTTTAATGGCATAAGAAGGAACCCAAAAATACGCTTGAAATTGTCTGAAAATTGAAATTGAACCCAATAATATCAGCAGGTTATGGTCATATGAGCAGAAGGAACCCAAAAATATAGTCAGCAGTCCATCTTAAGTATGTTGACTTAATTTAACCTGACGTTCGAAATTAAAATTTGAAATTGAAACCAAAAATATGGTTGGCAGGATATGGTCATATGGGCAAAAATAAGGATATAGTTATGTGGGCATTAGGATTCCAAAAATATGGTCAGCAGCCAATCCTAAGTCTGTTAATTTAATCTGACGTTTGAAATTATCTGAAAATTGAAATTGAACCCAAAAATATAATCAGCAGGATATGATCATATGGGCAGAAGTAACCCAAAAATATGGTCAGCAGTCGGTCTTAAGTCTGTTGACTTAATTTAACTTGACGTTCGAAATTGTCTGAAAATTGAAATTAAATATCAGCAAGATATGGGCATATGGGTAGAAGAAACCAAAAATATGGTCAGCAGGATATGGTAATGCGGGCAGAAGGAATGCAAAAATATAGTCAAATTTAGGTCTATTGTCTAAATTTAACCTAACGTTCGAAATTGTCTGAAAATTGAAATTGAACCCAAAAATATGGTCAGCAGGATATGGGCATATGGGCAGAAGAAACCGAAAATATGGTCAGCAGGATATGGGCATATGGGCAGAAGAAACCGAAAATATGGTCAACAGGATATGGTCATGTGAGCAGAAGGAATGCAAAAATATAGTCAATCTTAGGTCTATTGTCTAAATTTAACCTGTCGTTGGAATTTGTCTGAAAATTGAAATTTAACTGAAAAAATGGTCAGCAGGAAATGGTCATATGGGCAAAACGAACCAAAAATTTGGTCTGAAGGATACGGTCATGTGGGCAGAAGAAACGCAAAAGTTTGGTCAACAGTCAATCTTAAGTCTATTGTCTTAATTTAACCTGATGTTCTAAATAGTCTAAAAATTCATAAACAGTTCATAATAGTCTAACGTATATTTAAATATACAATCGATTAGGATAACTAAAACACAAATAAGTAATTTACATTAGTCTGACTTAGGCTTCAAGATTTTAGGAGTATCAAATTAAAATTACTGACCATTGTATGTCCACACTTACAATTATAAACGTGTGCTTACTCAGCTTAATAGTTCTATTTAAAGTTACCAGATGATAGTGTTTATGAATGTCTGACAAAATAAAGCCGGGGTACGACTTAGGCTGTGGTACGACTAAAGCAACCTTACCTTTTTATTGATATTATCAGTAGTATTCGTAAATGGAAACTTAATAACTATATTGAAGAAGAAGTCTATGAATATCAGATGTTGAAATCTCTTTAAATATTAAGATATACTCAAACAACTGCGCACATAGTTCAAAATTTTGCAGACTTCAATCGATTCAATATTTCAATGATTAATTGTGTTAACTAATGCAAAATATGGTCAGCAGGATTTAGTCATCTTGGCAGAAGAAACCAAAAATATGGTCATGTGGGCAGAAGAAACCAAAAAATATAGTCATTGTGCAGAACTTTTAGATTCAAGAAATTTGTTATTTTGAACTTGTTATCATTAATCAATTTTATCCTATAAAATTTTGCAAATAGCCACACCAAGTTTACATGAACCATTCATACTAACAAAGTTCACCACGAAATACACAAACTAAGATATTAACTGCTTTTTTATTTCAATCCTTTAATGCGAATAAAAATTAAATTGCCAATGAAAGAGGACTTGATATGGTTCCTTCAAAAAACCAATCAAAAATATTGCTTTACCTTTAGGAGAACTTTGAAGCCCAAACAGATGCTGGTTAATAATCCTAGTGACGGAAGCTATGGATCTTCCTGGCATAAAAGACGTCCTGCGTCCTCCAAGCCTTCTGTCGAGGCTATCCTGGGAAGCATCTCTTTCGGCGAGAGTGGTTTGGGGACGATTTAACTGTAAAAATAAAATATAGTGACAATTACAATACATTCTGACAGCACTATTTTATTATATGATGATAACAACTCTCTAACTACTTACTTGTTGGAATCTTTTCTTTCTATGTTTAGGCAGGTTAGATTCATTTAAACTAATACGACTAGCGCTATCCACAGTGGCAAAGTCCTTGAAAGCTTCGTCCATGGGGCTCGCACCTAAACTTCTCAACTGGCCACAATCACCAGAGGCGCTCTTTTTCACCAGTGCTGCACCCTTATCAAGTGGATTGACGTATAAATTTGAATCAACCTCACCCTAGAAATAGAAAACATCAGAAAAAAAAACACCAACCAAATCGCTGATTCAGAACTTGATATGTTTTTGAGAAAACCAAATCATTTTTTTCAATTTACTATCCAACCTTACCTCCAGCAAATCACCCTGAGACAAAAAGGGATGTGTATCGCAACTGGCATATGTATCGGAACTATCAACACTGCCCAAATCTCCATTGGCCCTTGGAGGAGCTACAGTTGGAATAATTTCTTTTTCCCGTTCGCGTTCCCGCTCTTTTTCACGTTCCCGCTCCCGCTCCCGTTCCCGTTCCCGTTCCCGTTCCCTGAGATGAGCACCAGCTAACCGTATCGCCTTCATCTCTATGCATACTGGATTTCGGAAATCTGACGTGCTGGTCGGCATCAAATTCTCCGCGTCAATGAATTCCTTGTAATCCTAGATAAATATAATAAAGTATTGACATCTATAACCATAATCAGACTGATATAACTGTGGAATCTGTTTTTAAAAATAAGCAATAAAAATATTTACCTAATAACCTCAACTTCTTAATTAAGAAACACGTGATTCAGAAGCAAGAAGATATTTATGGCAGATATGATCAGATATATTTTGATCTAACCAAGAACGATTGAAATTTACTTAAGGCATAGATTTCAAACCCGTCTTTTTAGATCTCATATAGAAAACAACCAACTTGTTCTTATAATAAAAGCAACAAACAATGCGTACACTATTCTTATTTCAATATGGTGCAAATACCATTTTCTCTGTATTAAATATTTTTAAATGATTATGGTGACCATAGTTTTAACAGTGTTATACTTTTATTCAAGGGATTTAAGATAATTAGTAAGAAACAATTACGTTATATTTATTTCGTAATATTTTTGGTAACATACAATTAAAATTGGCAAAATGTGTCTTGGAATTTGAAACGCGAACCAAGTTATAATATCAAAATATGTAGTTTTATTTAAATAAACTTGCTGTTTGTTTTTAATAATGGACAGTAATACGATGATACAAAAATTGTTAATGCTACAATAAGTATATGGAACCACCAATAAAATAGATTTAATGAAGGTCATCCTCGTTTTAGTAGAATAAAAACTTTGGTACCAATACCAAACCTTATGATACCAATTACTTTAAGCCTAAGAACTAGTATTTTATTTAAGAACTAGAAATATTAATAAAATAGGAAAGGTAATTATTCACTAAACTTAAATTTATAAGTATTTTAAAAGAACTCATGCAAATATTCTAGGTTTATGGTGCTGGTTGACGGTAGCTAATAAATTTAAAAAGATAAATAACAGAAATTTAACCTGTCTTCTAAAATATACTCTGATTGCTAATACTACCATTAAAAAAATACCTTTAGGAATGTTGGTTAAAAATAATTATATTAAATATGTATAGTGCGATCTCTTCTTTCCTGGGAATTTAAAAAGATTAGTACCACATGCAAACGCAATAAAATCTATAAATACTATTTCAAATATGCATTCTAATATTCGTGTACAAATTTCATGATACAAAATTCACTACAAAATTCTATGAATGACGCTCGATTGATATAATATCGATAGAACTTCTTAACAAAACATAGATTTTTGGTATATAGTTCGAACTTTAGGAGCCTATTCATAAAACTTTGATGAATACTTCTAACAAAATACGTGACCTGATTATGACAAAGGCATTTCAATGAGACAAGAGTCTACTACTATAGGTACAAATGCATGCCATACGTGTAATATGGAAGAAGTTTTTCAAAAAATATTTCAAACAAAAAAAAATCATAAAAGTATTTTTCACTATATGATGAAACATCTTCGTAAACATATACAAACAAATGCTTACTAAGACATACTTATTTGGTACATAAAAGTATATATGCATATATAGGTTTGTACGTTACACACATTTTTGTGCAGATTAATTAATTACTTTTTTTTCAATTTTTTATTAATATTTTGGCAGGCTTCAATTAAACTTCAATTCTTTGAATATCGATACAATATTGAATAAATGCAGAGTGCCGACTTCAAATCTGTATGAAGTACATGCAAAATGTACTTTTGGTCGACTTCTCTAATAAAAAATTATTGTCATGTACCTATATGACAACTGAAAAAATATAATAAATTCAATAAAAAATTTTGTTCTACGATAATAAAATAAGACGATCCTTAGGAATCGTTCACAAATCTGACTTCCTAAATACTTAGAAGAAGACTAATGGGCACAAGAGACCAATGTTATCGTCATAATGATTCACACTGAATACTTTCAAAATGTTATGTATTTGCTGTGCATTCAGGCGTTTTGCACACATAAACTGCAAGGTCACTCGTATGTTATGAAGCTGGGTCAGAAAGACCCTGTTATCTAACATCGTTTTTTTGACATTTGTGCGGTTTCTAGGTTAGGTTTTCTATCCGACAACCTGAGAAAAACTCCTGACTGCACAGAAACCACATTGCTTTTGTCAATATTTAAAACGAATTAGTGTGGAACGTTCTTCATAAGATAGCCTTGCTATAACATTAGTCTTTTATGCGGCAGGTTTTGGTACATAATTCTATTATAAATAAGTTTTGATTACCTTAATTTTTTCTAAGGTATGCCAAAATGTTCAGAAACCTTTGAAACGTAAAGATCTATAAAAACTTTCATTTTCGATTTTTTTGCAATTACTATAACTTGCCCTACGAGAAGTTAAATATATGGTAGGGCAGGGCACAAAGGTCCAATTTGACTTTGGGCAATAATATTGTGAAAACCTAATCAATTATAAGTACAAGGAAATCATTGAGTACATAATTTATATCCACTAATAACATAAATTGATTTTGATATTAATTTTATCAATACCTACGCTTATTTATAACGACTAAATTTGGGATAATCTTACTATGATATATATTATACTATTATATATCATAGATAATTTAACTATTATCTATTATACCGTGAGACTATTATCTATTATCTATTATACCTATGCCATCGATTTCTCTATCCATACAAATAATCTATTACAGCTAGATTATTATTTGTTAATTAACTTATTATATATATATATATATATATATATATATATATATATATATATACGAGTATATATGTGTGTATATATATATGTATATATATATGTATGTGTGTTTATATACATATCAGATATATATATATATATATATATATATATATATCTGTATATATATATCTATATATATATATATATATATGTGTGTGTGTGTTTATATACATATCAGACACCCGACATACCTATTTAATATTAATATGTTATATTTCTACCTTACGCCCTATGTATTGTCTCTACCTATCTATTGCCTATACCGGGGATTGAACCCGGTTCCTCTGCGTGACAGTCACGCATCTTAACCACTGCTCTATCGGGTCCCCCCACTGAAAATATATTATGGAACACACTGTTGTTGCTTTGGTTCATTTTCTAGTTAATTGAGCATTTTCTAATTAATTGAGTAACTAATACTAAGGTGACGCGACAACACACGAAAAAAGACGGTTGATTGTAGCGTTACGGTAGTCGAGTGGTCAAGGTCGTAGCCTGTCACGCGGCGGACCGGGGTTCGATTCCCGGCAAGATTGAAAATAGTATGTAAGCGAAATTGTAGGCGTAAGATAATAAATGTTAGGCGGTTTAGATATAAGTGTAAGGATTGAGCGTATACGGTGTGGTGGAAATAGAGCGTACGATATAGTAGTTATTAGGCGTATAACCACGTAGTCGTAAAGTGTAATGCGCACATAAGCGAAAAGAAATTTATGATATTAGGGGTTATCGTATAAGAATTGCGAATGTTATATAGATTTTATTTCTAAATATTCTTTCTTCTATACAAATATTTAGTTTGCTGGTTAGTTTTTTGACAAAGCCAGGGCAAAAGTGCAAGAAATGTCAATTTAGTTTTTGAGTCAACGGAGCATCTGGTTTAAATGATTCAAAAAACATTTTACATTTATTTACTGAAGGAAGAAGTGATTAAATTTTTGGGCAGGTCCAATAAAAAATGTAAAATATCCTCTGTTAAAAATATTAAATATCGGTACGAAAAGTTCTAGCAATTTCTCTAGTGTAGTCTTATATTATAAGAACAAAAAGTTCAAAACCATTGGAATCGAAAGGTGAAAGTTTTTTAGGTAAATTTGAAAGTTTTTAGGAACTAGTGGGGTGGGTGGCATCGTGCCTTAAGGCAAATTGCTGGAATTTCCCGTACCGTAACGAAATATTCGAGGAATACTGAATGTTTTCAAATAGATTATTATAAATATTGTAACATTGTCTAATATTTATAAGAATTATATAAACTGAATTGCAAAGTTGAAATTATTTGTAGAGTATATTAGAACTATAGTCAGAAATAAAATTAAATCTGAATTATTTTCGATATATAAAAAATTAAAAAAAAAAGAAAGTTGAAACAATTTTTTTTTCCAAAATCAATTATTTTGTTAAGACAAGCAGAAAGTTCTTTGAATCAATTAAATCGGACGCTTAGTTCTCTCAAAAACTGCCATTTTTTGTACATTTAGCTTCATATCTTCGAAATGGCTGGGCCAGCCTATGCAAAAAACTAATAACCACTTTTCCCAATCATTACTAATTAATGTTTTTTAGATCATTTAAATCGGATGCTCCGTTCTCTCAAAAACTCGATTTCTATTTTCTGCACACTAACTGCTGGACCTGCCTTTGCCGAAACCTAATCAGCACATCTCCTTATCTATAGGAATCGAATGGTTTTTGAACCATTCAAATCGGTTGATCCGTACGCCCGAAAACGTGGACGAAAAATGGTATCCGTGCATTCACACATACACACACACATCCATTTTTTCTGAGGTATGCCGAAATGTTCAGAAACCTTCAAAACGTCGAGAAATGTAAAAATTTTCAATTCCGATGCTCAGTTCATTACAATAACTTACCCTACGGGAAGTTAAAAAATTGTTTCATATAAAAAACTATTTTTTCTCCCGTCCCGGATTAGCATAACTAAAAATTGCCATCCCGATTTTGACTTAAAAAAATATGATCACCCTATTACCATGCATGTACACTTGTTATAAGTTAGTCCAGCACTCCTGTTAGAAATCCGTCCTAAGAATGTGTAAATGCTCACCTGTATCCATCACAAAAGCCGATGGAATCGAATTGATTCGATCTTCGAGGCATTTCGATATGTCACACCGTTTGATTTTGATCACAATGGGAATGTATTCGTGTTCAAAGACTTCGTGAAATCAGATCAGACGCTGTTCGACCTCAGAGGAATACCTCCTGTGCGGCAACGATGTTCCCTTCCCTGAAATGGTTCGAGTAGAAGAGGTCTAGTTTAGGGTCAGATTAGTGAGGTCAAGACTCCAATACATCAGAGGCAATCTCTCCAAAATGCTGGCAGGTAATTTGTTAGTAGCAAGAATATAGCAGCATAATTGTTATGGTTTTACTCGATCCACAAAATTTTAGAGCAGATTATTAGTCATCTCGTAGATGTTAGTTTAGTGCACTTGCTAGCACCAATAGAGCCACATATCTGGTTTTAGAGCGTTCTAAAATATTAGTCGTTATTTCTAGCAGAAGGGTGTTAGCACAACAGTCATATCTAAAATATCCATTAATGCTGAGTATATAAACTTATGGAGCAATTCTGCTGTAACAGACTTCATAACATGACGTTGTCATGGCAACGCTATGTTATGCTTATTTCTTGGTAGTGAAAACTGTAAAAATATCTATTTGCTGTGCGATCTAGTGTATTATACATATAAACAAGCAAGAAAGAATCTCATGATAACAGAATCTTCGATGATTCAGTTATCATAAGATTCTATCTTGCTTGCTTATTTGTAAAATACGGCTGATCACACAGTAAATACATAGACAGTTTCACAGTTTTCACTTCCAAGATATAAGCATAACATAGCGTTGCCATGACAACGCGACAACGACAACGATATATAACATTTCAGAAGAAATTTGTTAGTTGTTTTTATTAAATCACATTGAGTTCGTTTGTAATTACCTTAAATAATTTAATAGAATATAATATAATAGAATCAACTAAAAAAAAATTCAAAAAATTGATTTAAAAAATTTCAAATGGAATGCATTTTATCATAATGAATCTAGTTAGAACCTACAATAGTAATATTCAAGTTTTTTTTAATTTAATCTGGTCTTATAGGGCGACCTTAGAGCATTTTCTTCCAACTGTAATTTTGTATAATATTTAAATTTAATATTGTTCAAATACCATGTAAATTTAGGTAAAATGTACGTTTTTTTAAAGTAATTCTCGCTTAAATCAATTTGATCTATAATAATGTGCAAATCCGATTATTTTAATGTACTCAAAAATAAATATATTGGGCTCATACTAATGTCAATAAAACATTTGCTAGTAATAAAAATTTTGCAAAGTAATTTTGAATTAGCCCAATTATCATTATCTTCAACAAACAAAAAAAACTATTTAAGCCTTTTATTTTCTTAGTGAAAACCGATTTTAAATGTTCAACATATAAAGCTATTTATCAAGTGACTTTGATATTTATTAAATGTTCTATAAGTCATATAAACCGTACAAAAATTCAAAAAAGAAGTAGATTGAATTCATAATATTAAAAAAAGTCAATTTGTTCGATTCCTACCTAATCCTAAGGGTGCGTTTTTTAATATCATAATTTTTAAATACTCTTTTTACTGAAGTATTATGCCAATATGCGTGTTAAATCAAATAATTATTTTATATCAAATTGTAATATATTTATACTACTTTTAAAATGTGTACAAAATATACGTTGAATTTTTCATATAAATGAATTTTTTTATATCTAGTTTCAATGTATTTTATACATTTTTCCCTAAAACACAACATACATTTTTAATTATATTGATAAAATTACGTAAAATTATTAAACAATATAAATATACTATAAATCAGTATATCTATCTTAAATGTTAAAATACTCTACAAATAGTGTTAAAAGTGTTATTTTTAAAAAATATGCAATTTTACATGTTATAATATACAAAATCATGGTGCAAATACTTGCAAAACATGCAAACGGTTGTAAAACTACCAAAATTGCGCTACAGTCTTAATAAATTTATAACAAAACATTACATTACATTACAACTATTAACATTGCATAATAGTTTTTTAAACAAAGTTGTAAAAATGCAGCTCAAGAACAAATATGACAACTCGTGCGACAAAGATGATATAACGTGGAAAAATCTCTATAATCATTGATCATAATAAAATAATTAATAATAAATAAAGTATTATATGAGTTATCATATAATACTTTATGAAAAATGAAATATTTCGAAAACCATGAAAAATGAAATATTGGTGGTTAATTTTATCGAAATAACACTAAAACATTAACAATACAGAAATGAATAATAAAGTATGTTTTAACTATCTTATGAAAATTGGATTCTTATAGTTTAATAAATATTTAAATTGTTCGAAGAAATTATTGAATAATTGAATAAATTTGCCTACTGAAATAATAAATTAAGTTTGGCTACTAAAATAAAATAATTTTTCAATAAAATAATAAGATTGGATGATAATATCGAAACAGAATAAATAATAATAATTTAGGAAATAATAAAAAAAAATTGATTCGACAAAGTAGCTTATGGCGATTCAAATCTTGTCATAAGAAATAAATTTCGTATATGGGTTTGTATATTTAGTGATTTTATTAAATATATCGATAAATTAGTTAGAAAAAAATAGTTACTAATATTTCTTCTGTGCTTAGTATGTAAAATTTTTCCATAAATTAACAAGAGAAAATGTAGTTTTTCCACAATGATTGCGCTTTAATTGTAAAATTATATTAATATATTTTATGTCGAATATTTGAAGTTATTCAAGCACATTTTGTTTTTAAAAATTTAATAATGAAATATTAAAATATTATGGTGTTCCCAAATTTTCACCATCAGTCTTATATAGTAATTGTTGAAGTAACAGTTTGTGGCTTTTTAAATCATAGCCAAGTCATTATAAAAACTAATATAATAATAACTCTTAAGTCAACTATAAAATTAAAAAAACATAATAATATCTCACAAAAAAATTTTGGTTGAAAACCAAGTGTGAAAAATTAAGTCATGTGCCAATGATAACTAAAATTCTCCAACGATTAAAAAACTTGAGATAAACTTACTTCACTTTAAATAACAATAAAATTTCAACACCGCTAACAATAAAAAATATTAAACATATATATTTATTAAAAATAAAATTTTTTGTGCATTCTTATGATTATGTTTTTATGTTTATACTTATTTATCGTTAAATTTTGTCTGGCCTAAACATCATCTTTGCGCAACCCGCTAGTTCATATGTCTACAGTACAAAAAAATGATGTAATGCTACTAATAAAGCACAGATCCATTGGACTAAAATACCTATATATATATATATATATATATATATATATATATATATATATATCCATATTTGAAATCATGTATATTCAGTACTTGCAAATCACTACTTTTTATATGATCAATCAGTACTGATGTATATGTATTATTTATATTAGGGTGGTCCTTAATATAAATATTTTTGAAATTTTTTGCATCCGGGGGTTCAATTGCTTCCAAATTAATAAAAAAAATCTCTGAAAGTTTTAGCTCTTAATATTAAACTTAAGATAGTCCGCACTCAAACCAAAGTTTCTTGGTTCTTCTGCCTAAATAAGTACTTATTTTATGAAATACATCAAACTTGTGTAGTATTTTTTTTTATTTATGATCAAAATAAGCAAATACAATGTTATTTTCAAAATTTTGATCTACTTGTCGCTAAGTTATAAAATTCTAAAAAACGAATGGAATTTTACCCATGTTATTTCCATAGGAAACGTTGGTTGGAGGAGCGTGGTCTTTCTTAAAGTCAATATTACGAGCTAAGACTTCCAGAGAATGGTTTTTATGAATTTGAAAGTACATGAGCCCTTAGAGCAAAGAAATTCAAAAATATACATATTGAGGACCACCCTAATATACATAATACATATACATCAGCACTTTAATGTAATATTTTAATATTAATTGTTATACTAAGAAGATCTAAGAAGATTGGAGTTCTTAGACATCGCTCTTAAATATTGTTAATTTAGCTCATAGGAATTGCTAAATAAAACATATATATATATATATATATATATATATATATACGAGTATATGTATATATATATACATCAGCGCTGGTTGTTTATTTCAAAAAGTAGTGATTTGCAAGTACTGAAATTTACTATGATTGATTTTCAATAGGGAGTTTTTAGCTGAATTGATCTGTGACGTTATTTAAACTACTTGGCATGACCGAGAATGAAAAAGATGTTAGTCGAAAATCTAATTAATAGAGTGAATAATAGAAGTTGCAATGTTAGAGCGTGTTAGTAGACATCCTTGGTACCTTTGACGTACAAAAACAACACTCGAACTCGGACGGCATTTCGGCGAGGGCGCTGTCCGCCTTCTCCTGTTTGCGGCTGACCGAGTCCTCGCGTTTCGAATCAGGATCGTCCTAGAAAAACGATTGGTAACGTAACAAAACAACTTTCTTAAAAACCCCAAAAATAAATATTAATGAACCGATTCTGCCGTATAACAGACCAATGTTATGGCAAGGCTATGTTATGTAGAACTTTCCATACTGAATCGTTCTAGATATTGTCAAAAGACATATGGTTGGTGTGCAGTCAGGCGTTTAGCTCAGGTTGTCAGATAGAAAACCTAACCTAGTAACCGCACAAATTTCAAAAAACGATTTTAGATAACAGGGTCTTTAGACCCAGCTTCATAACATACATGTGACGTTGCAGTTTACGTGTGAAACGCCTGAATGCACAGCAAATACTAATTTGACAGTATTCATTACGATTCAGAAGCTTAATGTATGCAAGTTGAAGTGTAACATGGTTTTGCCATAACATTGGTCTGTTGTGCGGCAGAATCGGTCCATAAATCACAATTTCAAAAGCATTTTATTAGCCCGGTCAATTTTAATCTAAAATCAGGATGACGGTTACTATAATTTATAATGGGCTGTAACTTGGCAAAATTGTTTAAAATACAATTATAAAAGAAATCTCAAAAGTCGTCATCGAACGAGCTAAAAAATGGCATAAGGTCAAAGGTAAAAAAAGACCCTTATGCGATTTTTAGCTAGATGGTCAGTTTTATCGCAAAATTACCTGAGACAATATTGTAAAGTATAAAATTATCTACAAAAATGCATCATTACTTTTTTTGCTCAGAGCCACAGTTTTAAAGATATATTACTTCTACGTTTGAACGCCACCTACGAGGTAGTGTGCTTAGCTCGTTTTTTTACGTGGTTTTTCCAGTAGGCCTATTTCACGGGTCTGTTGTGATTTTTTTTTGTTTCGAAAAACTTGCAAAATGATATTTGTAAATTTGTGTTGGTAAAATAAAGGCGGTAATTATAAAAAAGCAACTAAAATTCCTGGGAGTTATAATTTTCAAATGTTTCTACATCCTTTTCGTATCGTTTTTCTTGATCTTCTTCATTTTCTTCTTCTTTACTTTGAGTATAAATTTGTTATGAAAATAGTTTGGTTTGGTCTGGTTTATGAAAATTCATAACTTGTACATTTTCGAGATATGGTTTCTTCAGCAAATTATCTTATTTTGATCCCCACTAACCGAAAATCATATGTGCCTAAGCAACTTATTTTGACCCATACAAATCGATCCGCTCTAATATACATATATACTTATATATGGGTATAAATGCAGGTAAATTACTCTAAAAAAAAGTTTCAGCATTATCAATATTATCAAGTTTCATGAGGCAATGATTATAGAGAAATTCCACATCTATTATTCAATAGTATTACCTAACATTATATGAATATTATATTACTGATCAAAAGTATATAGATTTCTATTAAAATATAACATGCTATCCAATAATATCGATTACAATCAAATCAGAATAATACTTAAATATAATTCTAAAATAAAATGAAACTAAAGGTAAATGCAAAATGAATATTTTGCAAAGGTATCTGAAATGAAGTTCTGAGAAATCTATTCATGGTAAAATACGTAGGTTTTCAATGACCTTTGTAGTGTCGATGTTTTATAGAATTCCAAGAAATAATATTGCGCTGATATCTGTAGCAAGATATTTATTTCTCATATTTTTATAAAATAACTAGTTGTAAAAGGTCTGATACAAGTAATTACCAAAATTACCAAAAATTGAACTGAATTTTTTGAACGCCTTGCAGAAGTGCTAATTTTAACTAAAATTAATTATGAAGAAAAAATGTATGATATAAATATAGCACATAATAGAATAATAAAGTCCTAATAAAAGTCATTTATTCTGATTAAGAAAAAACATTAATTCAACAAAAGGAAAACTGGTCACCGTATTATCACCAAATTGAAAAAGTACGTTCAAAGCAGATTGTTATTGTTAAGGTGACCATACGTCCCGGATTTTCACCTTGTATCCCGGGTTTTTCTATAAGTAATATTTGTCCCGGATTTAGATCTTAATTCTGATTTAAAAACAAATTGATTCTTTGAAAAAACCCTTTTCATTGCATCTTTAGATAGTATTTTTATTATTTTAAAATTATATTTTAGTTATTTAGAAAGTCAATTTGCTAATTTTGTTTTCTCGACGTTTCAAGTCAATTTGAATTGTTTGAGACTAAAATTTCAAATAGTATGTATGTGCATGTGAATGAAAATTTGACCTTTCATTGGGGTTTTCTCTAAAGCAGCTGAAACGATTTAAAAAATTTCGAAATATTTCAAAATATATCGGATTGATTTTGCAGCATGTCTTAAGGGAAATATATAAGTTAGGAATCATGATGTCTAGTTCTAGGTAACAGTAGTTCAAATAATTCTTAGTAATTAGTAATTATATGAATATTCCATATCTTATTTACTTTTTTTAAAATTTCTTGATATACTTTCGTAATAACTACTAATATATAGAATGATTATCATATAACAAATTATCATTTTGGTATTTTGAATTCCTATTTTTTACATTGCAATAATCATTTTATTCAATTTAACTAAACGCAAGGTTCTTCCATAGAACCTTCAATAAATTTAATTCCATCACATACTACGGTGGAGTAAAATACCTGGCGCCGCGTTTTCTGTCAAATATTTATTGTCAACATTAACAAAGGTCAAGGTTTATGCATCACCTAGCCAGGCAATGGTTGATGTTTGATCGGTCATAAAACAAAATTGCAAATAAAATAACTAGAGTGAATATAAACAAAGTGAGGTACATGGAGCTAAGTTGTAGTAAAAAATAATTTAGAATTTAACAGTTGAGTAAAAACTTCATTAATTTAAATTATTAAATTATATTTAATAGACGTTCAGCGATTTGATGTTTTGAAATAGTTCATACAACTTGTATTAAAAATTTTAAAAACAAACCTTTCGCAAAAGTCTAATTACATTAATTTTACTTTGAACAAGAAAGTAACATGTGTGGTTGATAATTCGGTAGTTAAAAAAAAATATGATCATTTTACAAATTTACAAAACATGCATATAACTATATTCAATCATTCAAATATTTTTCTAAGCTCACCGAATTAAGTACTTCTTGCAAAGCCAAAGGAGCCATTCCAATTGCACTGGTGGCTTCCGTGGGCTGTTCCTGCAGGGTGTCGTCATCCGCCGAAGAGTCCAGAAG